CCCTCCCCCCAAAAAGGGTAAAAGGGCACTACCCGGCAGATTGTGATTTCCATGGTCTTATTTGCTGGTAACCCTGAGGAGGTCTAACTTTGCTGTGGTCCAAGTATATTCCAATCAGGGACCGGCCGCCAAGACACGGGGCGGCATTTGACATCCGAAAAGACGCCGTCTAAGCCCTTGTTGTGGAGGAACCCCCCAAACAATCCAACAAACGAGTCGGCCAAAAAACCTTACTTAAAATGTATCCTAAGTCTACCCCAGGCTACTTGGGCACTCTGGGTAAAGCTGCTCCCCCCCCCAAAAAAAAAACACCACCCTCCAGAGCCCCCGCCCACCAGGGTGAAAAAAAACCGCCGTGGCTGAAAAAAAGCCGCCTCAGGGTGAAGTTGAAGACTGGCAGGTCCTCGGGCTCCTGTCGCTGGGCGCTGGGCGCTGGGAACTCCACTTCTTTCAACTCCAAATGCCGCGGCCCAGGCCAAGACGGGGGTAAACCCACCAAACGTGGTGCTGTCTTCTTATGTTTCTTTGAATTCATTTGTTTAGTGTCTTTTTTTGGGGGGTCGTGTACTCTTTGAGGGTTTCTTTTGTGAGGGTACAAATATGCATATTCAATCGTCGCAGTCCCTTCGTGTGTTGATTTTTCTTGTTGGTGCGAGAGATGCAGGGAAGGAGAAATGGAATGACCCCGATGAAAAACCATCCAACTGGTGGTTTCCTTTTTGGGGACCCCTGCTGGGTTCATTCCCACATTCGGGGGGGGCGGGTTGGGTTTAGTGTGCCCTTTGAGTGTTTCGTTTGTGAGGGTACCCGTCTGCAGTTCTGTTGCATGAACCCTCCACAAACCATCAACACAAAGTGGCCAACTGAGCACGGAATATGGCCCGACTCTGGGGAACACAATGGGTGTTTTTTGGTAGGGACCCCCCAACAGATGTTGGTTGTCCGTTTCGTTTCCCTTTAACACCACAACGGGGGTAAGCCCCCCCACCGAAGATATTCACCAACCCGAGACCCAGGAAAGGCGAGTTGGCGTCTCAGATATTCAAAAAGCCCCGCGAGCAAGCCTCGTCCAGCCATGTCCATTCTGGGAACTGCATTGCTTGGCTATGCGAGATCAACTTGGGACCCCTGAAAGTTGGCTCCCTTGATCCACCTTTTCCTCACCAGGTGGCAACTGTTTGTCAAGATCGTGACACTGTTTGTCAAGATCGTGACCATAGACAAAACGGGGTCTTTGCGCCAATACGTCCGGACAAGTTCCGGGTGTTGGGGATACGTGTTGAGCCGATTTGCTTGTTGATTCAAGAGCAACCCCAAGAGCCAGAACAAGTGCAAGCACCCCACATGGGTTTGTCTCAAAATGCGGGAAAACCTCAAATGTTCGCTTTCCCCTTTTAAACCCACAACAACAAAGTACTTGGATATTCGGCCAAGTTGGTAAGTGGCAGCCGCTTCACGAAACAAAAACAAATGTTCGGTTTCCCAGTGGTCGACCAAGTTGGCAGGTGGCAGCCGATTCACTATTAATAGGGTTAATTCCACTGAACGGGGGACTTGTCAGTGTTCTGAAACAGAATCTAGGTCCTCCAGTAGAGAGGTTAGAGTATAAGGGTACCCGATCTTTTTTTCTGTAGTCTATTTTAGTAGGGGAACCCTCCCAACTAATAAAGAAACGGTGAGAAAGTTGGCACCTAGCTGGGGGATCTAGGAATGGCTACACGCCAAAAGCGGAACCACTCAGAGAGCAGCTGACCACCGCACCCTTCGAGCCGAGGCCCCGGGCAAAGATGCAAAGCGCTGGGCCTCGGAGGGCGGACTTTTTCGGGGTGGGGAGGGGGGAGGGGGGGGGGCGTGGTGTGTGTGTGTGTGTGTGTTTGCTGTGAGTGTATCCCTTTTTTGGTGGGTTTAACGGTAAAACAGCAAAAATAAACATGGGTTCCCCAAAATGGTAGAAGACAGACCCATATTTTGAGAGCCAGTTTCATATTTGATGGGAGCTCCGGACTCAAAAGAACCCCTGGTTGATTTTGGTTGGTGGGGTGTCCCCGATTTGTGGAGGTGTTCCCCCCTACATCCAAGGGATCAACAGGAGGAGAATCCCTTTTAGCAGTCCAGATCGATTCACATGTCGACAAGGTGGACAAAAAACTCCTTTCGCAATTTCAGATACAACGGGTTCTCTCTAAACAATAACCCGCCCCAACCCAAAAGTGTTTGCGTGAGAAAGAGCCAACTCCTGCCAGAAAAGCAATCCGTAAGGCAGACAGCACGCTTGTGGGGTTGTGTCAAGAAGAACCAAAGGAACGAAGCCAACCAAGGAAGACTTTGTCAGGGCTCCCTATATTTCCCCCACTAAACTTGGCAAATGGCTCATCATGGCCTATGGTCATGGCTCTCTCAATAGGGATCCTTGGTCAAACCCAAGTAAAGGAGCCCATTTGTTTAAAACCAGAGGCCCCCCCGCCTTGGAAGCTGCTGGTGCTTGAAGGTGTTGAGGGCACTGAGGGGCAGCTGGGTGTTGAGGCCCCCTAAGGCGAGCGGCGCGACCCCGAAGCGAGCCTGAAACAACAGGGCATGTGTATGTGTATGTATTTATATATATAGATAGGCATGTAGCGTTTTCATCTAGATTCGTACACTCACACACACTCGTGCACCTGTGCATATACACGTGTATATGCATGCATGTGTGTCTGTGTGTGTGTGTGTCTGCCTGCTTGCCTGCTTGCTTGCCTGCCTGCCTGCCTGCCTGCCTGCCTGGCGCTGTCTGTGTCTCTGTCTGTCCGTCTCTGTCTGTCTCTGTCTGTCCGTCTCTGTGTGTCTCTGTCTGCCTGTCTGTCTGTCCGCTGTCTGTCTGTGTCCGCTGTCTGTCGGCCTGCCTGCCTGTCTGTGTCACAGTATGTATGAATGCATGCACGCAAGAATGCAAGTAGGTAAGAATGTAAGACATGCAAGTAATGTAAGTAGCGTAAGTATGTACGTCTCGTGTGTGTGTGAATATGTAAGTGCAAGTAATGACAGACTTTAAGTAGTGCAGGTAAGTGTGAAGATGCGTATGTGCTATGTATGCATTTGTGTCTGTATGTGTGCATGTGGTGCATTTATGTATGTGTGTATGTAGGTATGTAGCTATGTATGTATGCGTGTAAGCACGCACGCATGCACATTCTTGTTGCCGGAATCGCCTTTGTTCTCTTTCGCGAGTCTTTCGCGACTCCATCGCCACTCCATTTCGTTTGCAGTGTGCGCTCTGGAACCATTGTTGCTGCTGCAGCTACGCTTGAAAACGCAGTAGCCACGCAGTTCGTTTGAACTGACAGGCTTGCAGCAACGTGAGATGATAGCAGCCACTAATCACTATCATTTGCCGCTTCCATTTGTGTTTGCTGGGACTGCTACCTATGTGCGGAACCTTGCAACAAGCTCCATGGGCTTCCAAATAGCTCGGCTAACGTTTCGGCTTGCACCATTCACAGAACCAAAAAGCTTTCGCTAAATCTTCAGCAAAACAGAGACACTTCTGCACATTCCATCGCGGATCTTTCACACGGGCACAAACACCTGCAGTCGATTTTCCTCCACAGTTTAAGTCCTTGCAAGGACCTTTTGATTAATTTTTTATGTATGCATGTGTATGCATATCAATGGTCAAAAGTAGCCTCCTGTTTTGAATTTCTGCGGCTTTTTCTTCAGGCTAGGACGCTCTCCAAGTTTGGTTTGGAAAGCCGCCAGATGGTTTTTCCATTGGTGTCACCCTCAATGTCTTGAGGTGCATTGCTGCATGGCTGATTGCACCCGCAATCTTGACCTTTCCAAGCTATCCAAAACTGCCAAGCATAGGCAAACTCAGTTCTAGGCTGGAATTAGGACCCCAGCAACAAAAATATCCTTTTTGCTGGGTTAGTGGAAAACAAAGGGGACCCCAAAAAAGCAAAACATCAAAAAGGGGAGCTAATTCTGGGGACAGTTTGGCAGGCACGCTTTCCCTTAGATCGGCCCAGCTCCATGGGACTTTGCTCCCTGAACTTCGCGCTGAGCTGCGCGGAACTTCGCCCAACAAATTCGCCGCGCTGAAAGCGGGGCAGCCGGCGCAAAGAAACTGAGCACGAAGATGAATTGGCAGTGGCTCAAAAAACGGGGAATTCCACAATGGCACCTTGGTAAATGGCACCAAGAAGAAACACCCGCGGTTTGCCCCAGCTCTTTAATTTTGAGCCATACCCAATTTAGGTGTTTGATGTTTCCGAAGATGTTGGATGCTGTTTGATGGTTCCGTAGGCATGTGCTTCACATCCCGTGTGCTCTTAGGGGGAACAAACGGCTTCCAGCTTGTATCACAATCTTAGACGGGGACGTCCCCAAAGTTACTTCCCCTCATCACCTCAGGAAACTCACTTTCAATTGGCCCAAAAGGTCTAAATTGGAAGCCCAGGTCAAAACTTTTGGAAAATACGAGGCACCCAACCCCAACCGGCTTCAGTCTGCAACACTTCGAACAACCGTGCCCGGGCGAGACCTTTTTCTCCGAGCTAAATCCCTTCGCCGCGCTTTCGCGATGCATGTCGCGGGTCGAGAGTCGGACCCAGTGAGCGGAATCTACGTCGCTTGCCAACGGGGCTTTGGACAAGGGTACAGCTAAAACCCAGGCATCATAATTTTGTATGTCTCAAAATAGGAGAACCCCCAACGTCCTTGGCTCTCTTTTGGTTTCCCTTTACGCCAATCCAAATCGGTACCCCTGAAACAAGGCACGCCCAATGGATCCCAAAGCAAGAACCTGCGCGGTCAGCCCTCAAACATATCAAGGGCTGCAAAAGTTTCCGTGTTGTGTTTTGCCAGCTGCAGAGGAAACTTCAGAAAACCAAAAGGGCAACCGGTCGAACTGGGCTGGAACTGGGACCCAAGGGACCCCAAAAAAGCAAACAATAAAAAAGGGGAGCGAATTCTGGGGAAGCAACAAGGTCAGTTTAGTCTGGCAATGTTTCCCCTGATTTCTGAAAGGGGCTTCCACGGCAAGCTTGCCGCGGCATAAAGTCAGGCACAGGTGGCCCAAATCATGTCAGCAAACTGAGTGCTTGAAATCAAGGTGTCCACCTTCAGAATCCTCAGCTGTGTCGAAGCATAGGCCGTTCTTTGGCCTTCTTGGGAGGATGATATCATACCTTTTGCAATAACCAGAGGTTCAAACATTGTGAAAGGTGTTGACACACCCTTGCTGCGAAAACAACTGTGGTTGACTCCCAATCACCACGGGAAGTCGTGGAAACCTAAAAAACAACACGACTTCCGGCCAGCTGCCTAGAGAGAAGTTGGGCTTGCGAAGTGAGGGCATCATTCCCAGCATCCCCCCCCCAAACCACTGCTTCTTGGCTACCGAGCTTGGCATTTCGACCATGGACACAAACAAGTTGTTGGGAGGGTCAAAGTACCCAAAAGAGAACAAAAACTGAATCCTCTGGGTTCGGGTCGCTTGAGCTTCTCGCTTTCGAAGCTTTCAAGAGAGATTTGAAAAGGCGGCTGCACCTATTTGTGCTTGGGATTTTACTAACCTTCATCTACCCGAATCGGTTTCGAGCACGTGGCTCAACTGGGTCGTAGTTTTAAGACTTCCCAAAGGCGAGCGCGTGAGAGTTCTCCGGCCAATTTTTGCCTGGCGATGCGAAAAAAAGTAATGTTGACCCCGGATTAATAAACCCCTGTATGAAAATATGTGGGTGTCCCTGGTTTTCGCGGAGATTTGTCACTTTTGGAGGGGAACACCCCCAATAGACAGGGGTTTATCAATCCGGGGTCAACATTAATTGCTTCTTTGCAGCGTTTCCATGTAACCCGTAAAACAACTTTTGCGAAATCTCTGTGGCGGACCCCAAAACCTTTGGGGGGCGCCAAAGTCGTTGTGTCCCAAAGTGTCCGCCGAGTGAAGGACAAGTCGCCTGAAGGCTCGGGGGCCCAAATCAAAGTTTTGGGTCGAATAGCGAGCCATTGCGCCAAAGGAAAAAAGGATTCGGTGAACCGCTGACAAGACTTGCTCGTGCTCAGTAGAGAATCATTCAGGGGCTAAAGGAAAGCATGGGGGATGGTTTAGAGCGGTCATTCCCTCATTCCCTGCCAAACGAACCAGCAAGAAGAACAAGCGGTTTTTAGCTTCCCCTCGCCAGAAGGTTTGGATAGGGTATGGCTTCCTGGTTACCTATTTGGGGGGCCAAATCCCAGCACCTCCAAACAAGCAATTAGGGGATACCCGATTTCTTTGGTGGCTCTGTGGGTAAACCATGTTACTCTTCCAGGGAGCAAAATAACCCCGGCTTGATTCCATTTTGCCCCTAGGTCACCTTATCCCTGGTGGCTTGGGTTGGACCAACACCGCATGGAGGAACTGGGTTCAAATCCCAATCCCAACCAATCCAAACCACCAATCTCCATTTGCTGAAGTCCCCTGGAGATTGCAACACTTTTGCAGTAGCGGTAGATTCCTCAAACATTGGAAGCAATTGAGGGTTCCCTGAGGGGTTATTCCCTGTAAAGTCAACAGGGGTTTAATTCAAACATTGGAAGCAACTAAGGGTTCCCTGAGGTCCGCTGAGCCAAAGCCAAGGCTTCGCTTCGGCCTTGCCGACTTCCGCCGAGGCTCTCCTCCTGTCTCGAGACCCTCTTCTCGCTTTGCACCACGCTCTGGATCATGGCGTTCCTCAAGATCCGAGGCCCCAGGAAAACAAAAAAAACACGCAAGGTCATCAGCCACCGGACTGCCCGTCTTGCATGCGTGTGTCTTTTTGTTGAGTAAACCAAAAGGACACCCCTCCCCACTTTGGGGAGGACACCCCTCCCCACTTTTGGGGAATCCAACCTAACATGCCCCGTCCTATATGGCTGCGTCTTTCTGTTGAGTACCTTCCATTCTGGGGATTCCGACCTAAAAAAGAGACACACAGCATAGCTTCCGAATTCTCAAGTCAGGTCTGTTTGACTTTGTTAGACCCCTCCGTGAGAAGATGGTCCCAACCCAAACCACAAACGCGCAAAGGTGCAACCCTTTGCACTTGTTTTGTCCTCGTCTTCTGTCGTCTTCCAAGGGGCTCCCGCAGAAAAACAAAAACAAAACAAAAAAACAAGTGAAAAACACAGGTTTGGAGTAATTCAGAATTTGGGTCTGTCTTCCTCTTGAAGGTTCCCAGAATTTCTTGGAATCCCCTTAAGAAGACACACCCATTTGCCAGAATCGCCCCTTGACCCTGGCCACGCACCGGGTTGTGGAGACACCGGCGGCCATTGATCAGTTGGGATCAATGAAACCCGATAAATCATGGGAACAACCTACCAACTGGTGCATGGTGGATTTTGTCCATCCATATCACCAGCGTGCCCCACAGTCTCGCTTTCGGCAACACTTCCTGTTGTGCTCTGATTTAGTTCCAGCCCTCCCACGGAAGTACCTGAAGCCGTGTGCACCCAGCCAGGCTTGGAGGTTCCTCTTTGATGCGATTCCAGAAGCAAACCAAGGGCCTGGAGGCCTTTCTGATCCGCGAGCCCATTTGTACAAATCAATTCGTTTCCTCTGGACACACATCAGTCGACCACTTTCCACCCTACTTTTTCAACCGCGTCCGGTTTCAAGCGGTTGGTTTCCTAAGGGCGGTTGGGGTCATTCAAAACCCGAGGCGTAGGGGTTGCTAGCCCGCTGCCCGGGTTCCCTCAAGGATTGAACCTGTCATATGTCGGGGTTTCCCGTGGGCTTCAAGCCGATCCCCAAGGAGTTTGAAAGGGACAACTTCCCTTTGGTGAACTGGGCCCGTTTTCAGATCCCCCGCTGAGAGTGGCTCACTTTTAGCGGGTTAGATGGAAACTACCACGAAACACTAAAAGGCTAAAAAGCTAAGGAACCGGATGGCTGGAAGCCAAGTGAAGAGCTTCAACAGTTTTGCAGATTTCCGGAGTGTTCAGCAGCAGTCCATATTTCGTGAAGAAGCCTTGGGTCGAATCTCGCTAAACATTGGGTGTCTATTTGAGGTTCCCTTTGTTTTGGTGGCAAAAGGAAAACCCAACCCATTTTGGGGTCCAACCCTCAAAAGGCCGCTTTTACCGATTCCACCCCCGCCCCATGTCCTTCCGTTTGCGAAAATTCGCTGGAATCATCCATTCTTGCATTTCAGCAACTCACCTCCTGAGTGGATGGACCGAAAAATGAAACACTGTCTATTTGCCACCAAATGGTTCAACCCAACAGGTGGCTAAAGTCCAACTCAGCAAGTAAGGCAATCAGTGTCTCCTCTCTTTTGGCTAGTTTCCCATTCTACAAGAACCCAAGGTTTCAACTCCAAATCCAAACCACCAATCCAAACCACTCGGGGTGAGCTTGAACTAAAGGATACCTAAAGTGGCATCTGACTAAAACGAGGTTGGGAACTTTAAACCTGCCCAAGCCCAAGTGACCAAGTCCGCAACGGACTTCGAGCTGCCAACTGTTTTTTGTTGAGACGTGGCTGTGGTTGTCAAATGTCGTTTCGGTACCATTTTGGGTTTGATTGAATCGGATGTTCTCATTCGGGGGAAACCGGGGTTTTGACGTTTTGACCCATGGCCAAGTGATTTACCAGGTATGCACTAATGCACAGCGGGATGGGCATGGAGAGCTTGAACTTCAAACCCCGAGAGTGGCAGCTCTCGACCCACGGCCACGTCTCGCTCGAGATCTCGACGGAGCGAGCTTCGCTCTCTCCGAGCGGCAGCTTCCGCAGGGGGATGCCAGAAGCCGCAGCGGCCCCCGAGGAGAAGAGCAGCCACTCGAAGGCCTCGGCGCCTGGACAAAGCTTTTCGCGCCAAAAGAAAGCCGAACAAATAAAAACAAATCCACTTGGCACCACCGAAGAAATCCGAGGTTTTTTTGTTCTCCCTAAAATGAAGAGTACCAAGAAAATGAAATGCTACAGAATACCAAGACTACCAAGAATACCACGAATAGCAAAGAAATCCGGAAAAAATGATTCTTCACCTGAAAGTACCAAGACACAATGGTTTCCCGTGGTGTCTTAGGTGGTGTAGGAGTTCGTCCATCCACAGTAGGTAGGGCATGACCTTCGAGTCTATGTTCCATGAACCGGTTTTGGGGAGTCCCGCATAAGGTGTTTTTCTTGGGGTCATTCAAAAAAAACTGCTGCGCACCAGCAAGTTTTGGGGGGTCCCCTTAAACTATGCCGGGTGCCCCCAAACAGGGGTCAACAAGTGAGACAGGAACCCACTCAAGTAACATGAAAGCCACCATGTTGGGGGTCTTCAAACTAGCTTCAAAAAAGACAGATCCATACTTTGAGATCCAGTTTCATATTTCATAGGGACTCCGGATAAAAGGCAGAACGCCTAAGTGATTCTCATTGGGGTGTGTGTTCCTTTTAGTGGGACATCCATCCCGAACAGGTTGGGTGAACAAAAAACAACTTGCTTCTTGTGGTCGACTCATGGCTTTGGAGTTCCTGTCGTCTGTCTAAACCGATGTTGAGGCAGGCTCAGGCTTCCAGGTTGGAAACCCTTTCAGATTGGTTTCGGGAAGCCAAACCAGCTTGGATCCAGTTGCTTTTTGGGTTGCAGCTTGTGACCAAGGCATCCCTTTCAAAGTGACGAAGCGCTAAGCTCAGGCGCAACAGATTTCAGGTTATTTGCCACTTCCCAGTTGCCACTGCCAGGCAACCAGGACTTTTGCCGCGGGAAATGACGACTTCCGTGATACAACAAGGGCGTCCCAAGGACTGATTGACGCCCCGACAAGGATTCCCTTGTATCACGGTGAGGCTAAGCGAGAGTTTTGCTGGAGTTCTGGGGGCCTGCGGTAAGGGAAACGTTTGCTGGGTCCTCCAGTAGAGAGGTTAGAATAAGGGTACCCGATCTTTTTTTCTTCTGTCTATTTTAGAATCGGGAACCCTCCCAACCAAAAAAGAAAAGCGGCAAAAGTTGGCACGATCCTGGCAAACCGAGTTTGATACAAGCCGGGCGGGTTCTAGGCGAAGCGCTGGCCACAAGGAAGCCACCGTGAAAGCGCCGAATCGTTTCGACGCATGCCGAGGTCAGTTAACCTGTTTTGCCAAGTGCAGTTGGTGAGTTTCTTGGAAAAGGCAGAACCCTTACTGAGAACCCGGGATTGACCAAAGCAAACACCTTGATCTGCAATGCTTGGATCCGGGGTCGATCAAGTGTCGAACTACGTGCCTTAGGGGTGCTCCTTAAAAGAGGGCTCTAAAAGCAGCGGTTTCCCTTTATTTTGGTGGAAAAAGCCATGTTTCAAATGGGCAACATGTATCTTTTAAGGAGCCCTGCCACAAGAGAACCCCCTTTCAGCCAGTGAGCGACCGATGTGACAGGTGCGGCCGGGTGGCACATGGCATCAGCGGCAGCTCGAGCGTTGCTCTCCAGGTCCAAGTTGTCCTGGCCGATCCCATCCCGATCGATAGAAACTTCGTCGGAAAGAGCCTATGGGAAACCGGCCGAACAGTTTGTTTTTTCTCGTGTGGCCAGTCTCGCTTGAGTGGCCCCAAAGAAGTCCAAACAAATGTTAGTCCAACAAGGGAACGGGTTGCACTTGCAACCCAAACCACTGGGCTTTGCAACCCAAACACTGGGCTTGGACAATTATCCTTCTCATTTCTGGTCTGTGCATGTGAGGTGGGATGCGGTGGGCTCTTTGGGACATGGGCGGTGCTACGAAATTGACCGCGGAAAAAACAACAAGTTCCCAACATAAATTGACTGCGAAAAAAAGGAAGAAAAACAACAACAAGTTCCCAACATGTAATGTGACTCTGAAGAGATGTATGCTGAAGGCCCTCATTTCCAGCTTGGATGTGTTTCAAGGGTGCAAAGCCAAAGGCCGAAATCCATGTTGGGGGGATTTGTTGCCTCCCTAGCAGCCATGTTCAACCAAACTTTCTGAAGGCGGATTTCGCCGCGAATGATTCACAGAGGGCATTGGTTTCCCCCTTCAATAGTTGGAATTTGCTGGTGGATTCCACTGCAACGATGGCCACTTTTGAAGGTCCAACGAGGAAATGGAGCGATGCCTGTTTCAGCGACCACAACGCCCGAGAGCCGCTCCAAACCGCGCCGGAGCGGACCTATCTGGGCCGTAATCGACCCCAGAGTTTTTTGTTTTTGTTTAATGCTTGCGACCAAGGTTCGAAGTGCAGTTTAAAGAACCGCCTTTTGGTCTCCAACCCTGCGGCCATGGGAAATAAGAATGGCGCACACTTGCTTTAAGGTTGTTTTCTTTAAAGGGGGGGCTGGCCTTTCACTTGGCTAGTTAGTCTGTCCCAAAACATAAACTCAGTTTGGAGAAGACCCCAGCCCATATTAGTTTCTACCACTGTTGCGAGGGCGTCAAGTACTGTAGCACCCTTAAAATAAAGCACACAAACACCCAAATGGTTGTAATGTAGAGGCTTGGGCAAGCCGGTACTTGGGTTTTCGTTGCCGAGTAAGCTGTTGGAAACCTATATAGCGGTTACCCCTCAACATTTCCCCGTTCAGTGGAAATCCCCCCGCTTGGCGAATAACTAGCTTGGCCGGCCGAACAAGTAGCGCTTTGGACCCCAGTTCAACAGGGATCCGGATACATACACCTGAACATTGCAACTTGTAACTGGTGGTTTCCCGAATTTTTTTTTGCTGGAAAAAGCAAAATGAATGGTTGCAAAAAAAAAAAAACATGTTTCTTTTTTAAGCCACATGTTTCAAATGGTAAGGCAAAATGGAGATCTCCTTTAAGGATCCCAGTTCCAAATAGTCAAGGAATTCCGCCCCCGCCCACCGTCCGCCTCCTCAGATCCCGGGATCGCCAAAGACTTTGTGCCCCGCACCGCCCGCACTGAGTGAAACCTGGGCCCAGCGGCTTCGCTTCGTGCTCAGGAAAACGGCCCTGCTTTCGCTTAAAAACCAGACCTCTCTTTCCTTCACCTGGAAACAGATACCCATAGGTCACCTTTTGGACCACTAGAAAGGGTTTCCCTTGGAAAATGGTTTGTAAAACCATCTAAACCAGTACTGGAAAGAATCTATCTCCAACCACACTTCCCGATCAAAAGGACACCGACCCGGAAACGCCGAGTTGCCGCAAATGGGCTTTAACTTTCCGTCAGGGGACCTCTTTCAATGCCGCAGAAAAAAACAAACACGAGCACAAACTTCAATCGCCAAATTGCATCCTCATCAAGCAGGCAGCCACATGTCAACTGACTGACAAAAGCCATTAGTTCATGTGGATTCAACCTGTTCGCAAGGCCGTACTCGGATGCTCAGCCAGCTTGCGACAAGCACGGCTTGTGACAAGCACGGCTCAAACTGGGGCAGCTTGTTTTTCCCCCTAATCATAGTTATAACCCGAAGTGGCTGGAACACGCAAGTATGCTCCAAACTAGCCGGCCCTGCGAGTGTCCCAAGGACTTATTCTCCTCACTTGTGTCAGGGAGCAGTCGCCGTAGGCATGTAATTGCCGACCTCAGCGAAGCAAACCGTGATTGTGACCAGTGATACTAGGTCCTCCAGTGGAGAGGTTAGAGTATAAGGGTACCCTATTTTTTTCTGTAGCCTATTTTAGGATCGGGAACTGAATCTCCCAACCAAAAAAAGGGTAAAAGGGCATCCAGCTGGGGGACCTAGAGAACTTTAGGATCGGGAACCCTCCCAACCAAAAAAAGTTGGTAGAGAAGGCACCTAGCTGGGGGACCTAGACGATCACTTGCGACCGCGAGTGATACAAGGCTGCCATCTTTACAGAGGTCACCGCACATGCCACAAGCAGAGCGAAGTGTTTTGAGGGTATCTTGGTTGCTGTTGAACCCTCTGCAAAAAACGTAAAACTTTTTGTGGGTTTAGTGGAAACCCCAACTTGACTTCCCAAAGAGTTCAAGTCTAAAGCCAATAGCAGTCAAGGTATGTAGGGGCTCTGCAAAGCATGTGCTTTCGGCAGACTCTTGCAGATTCGATCGGACCCTCAACAACACCACAAAGAGATCTCCATAGATCTCCTTCGCGGAATTCCCATTTGGGTTCCATGTCAGTTGGAAGGGGAACTGTGTAGGTCTCTGGCTTTGATGTATTCCCAAAATCAAGCCGCGGCTAGGTGCGAGGATGATTGCTTCGACGCACTTAAGCAGCAGTGACTATCCATACTGCCTTATGAGAATGAGACTTAGTTGGGCAGTTGCAGATCATAAACTGGCGTAAGATCTCATTCTCGCGCAAGATCGTGTTACCTGAGGAATGGCATCACAGCCACCATTGATCTAGGCAACCAATCATTTGCCCAGCTCAACAAGCCCCTGTTTCAAGGGGTCGTTTTCCTGTAGCAGTGGGCCCTGTGCAGCGGGTCGCTGAAAAAAGAGGTGTGAAGAAAGCCGGCTGAGGTTTTATTGGTCTATTCTCGGTTGCGAACTCTGCTCCCGTGCTAAAAGTGAATAACTTTGAGTGGTTTAGTACGGAAACCCCAAATTTGTTGGCAAAAAGTTATTCAGTCCTAACAGCCCTTGGCAAAATGCACCAAAGGTTTATTTGTCTATTGACTCAAGCCCTGACTTCATCTCAAATCGGGAGGGTTGCTAAAGCCCCAAGGAAACCAAGTCGGCTGATATTTTTCTCTTCCCAGCCACAAATCCTAGGAGTTTACCATACGAATTCTAGGTTCTCCAGATTTGAGAGGTTAGAATAAGGGTACCAACTTTTTGCTGTGGTCTATCTTAAGGGAACCGAATCTCCCCCAAAAAAGTTGGTAGAGAAGGGCACACCTGAGGGACCTAGACTACAAAAGCATAAGAAACACAATTCGCTTTCTCATTGAATACTCCAAGCGTGCCGAAAACGAGTACCGCGGATGAATTTCCCCAATTGTGTAAAGCAGCAACTCTGAGGACGTCAAAGCAAGCATCGGCATACCGACAAACCAACAGTTCAGGGACCCCTTTTGGGTTCCATGTCGAGCGTCTCAAAATAGGGGACCCCTGTTGGAAGGTTTTTGAGAGGAATCCAAAAGAACACCACCTGCAGGAATTCTAATTCCGAGAAACACCCATATGACTGTGGCTCAAAACACCGGTACCAAAATGGAACCCTGGTTAGTGGAAACATGGACCAACACCTGCGTAACCCCTCCTGTTTAATTTTGAGCCACGCCCATATGGGTCTGTCTGCTTTAGTGCTGCCTTTTTGGTGTTTCAATGGCAAACCGAAAAGAAACCCACCATGCTTGGAGGCTTTTTCGAAGCGACTACTCACCCTTATGTGGGGCATGTTCAGGCATGGGTTCAGGAATGGTCTCCTTGCCAGGTCCTCCAGTAGCGAGGTTACAATAAGTTGGTACCCTACTTGTTTTTCTTCCCGGTTTTGTCTATTTCAGGATCGGGAACCCTCCCAAGAAAAAAAAAAGTTGGGTAGAGAAGGGCACCAATTGCTGGGGGCCCAGCTTGCCTGGGTCCCATCTCCCCCCCCCCCCCGGACTTGGAGGGAGAAAATGTCCGCCGCGCCGCGTCTGCCGGAGCTTCTCCCAGAACTCTGCGGGCCTGGGGGCTGCGAGCGACCTGAGCCGGGGCCTGGAACTCAGGGCATGGCATTGGGGGTGGTGGTTGGCAAAACTCGTTGGTTCGGTTGGGTTGGGTTGGTTGGGTTGGGTTGGGTTGGGTTGGGTTGGGTTGGGTTGGGTTGGGTTGGGTTGGGTTGGGTTGGGTTGGGTTGGGTTGGGTTGGTTGGGTTGGTTGGTTGGGTTGGTTGGGTTGGTTGGGTTGGTTGGGTTGGTTGGTTGGGTTGTCCCATCGAGTGGATTTGGCCAAGAGAAAAGGCTTAACCTTGAAACTTCTGGGTCAGGCTTCGAAACTCCGGAGATGGGTTTGGGGCCGACCTCAAGGGTTTTGGAGCAGAATCCTGGACTTCTTCTACAAGCCACCAACATGGGAACCAAATCCAAACGTCACGTGACAATTAGGTTTTGTGCACGGAAGTGAGACAATGACTCAGTTCCTCCCGGGAAACCGCTCCAAGGAGCCCCTCGTGCGACTTCGAACCTGGAAAAAATGCAGATAAGTAGATTCAGATTCCATTTGAACCCACTCGGAATATACTTCATAGCACATACATATATATATATATATATATATACATATATATATATATATATTTAAACACACATAAGTTGGTCTGTTTTTGAGGCTCCGTATCCACCTGCGAAACCCTGGAATGATGATGTCCCCCAAACACTGGCTTCAACACCATGGTTTCATTTCGCGACGCGAACTCGATTTTGTCACACAGTATGACTTGTCCTGCCCTTGTCCTGGGGCTTGCAGAACCCAGGGGGGTCGTACCAAATCCCCCGAGTTGCTTTAGGGGTCCCCAAAAATCGGCGGCTTTGGCGCAAAATCCGAATCAAAACCCCTGGGTTGTCCTCTTGCCCACTTCAACACCAGACTCGCTGGGACTCTCCGGGTGTCCCAGCAGATTCTTCTTCTGCGACCTGGCGAGCAGTGAGCGAGCAAAGTTGGATCAGAAGGCCTAGAGGCAATCAAAACCTGGTATCAAAGATTTGTTTGAAAAAAACATGCTAGGCAATAGTTGTACGACCTTGATACACAAGGACATGAATGGAAAGAAACACGATTCAAAAACGTGAACATCTGCGCCGATTTCTGGTTGGGGCTGCCCCCTGAAACCTTCACGTATCCAACGCTTGATTGTAACTGTTGGTTTGTTCTTGTCTTCCCATGTTGGGAGTGTTTGGGGGTGGTGGTGTGTTTGGATGATTCCTGTCCTTTGAAAGGGTCTGCGTATCTTTGTTGGCCAAACAAAATCAAGTAAGCTCCATTTTTTCACGGCAAGCTAGAAATCACCATTCGCATATAAGGGAGCCCTATGAAAGAAACGTTGTTTTGGTTGACGTCGCCCCCCCCCCCCCCCAGGAAATGTGTGACATCCCTATAACTTGCTACCCTTGTGATTTGTCGGCCATTTCAAGGCTCGGAGCAACCCGTCTCAACACCATAATTACACCTCACCCCTGGGCAGCGGCAGACAGTGATAGATTTCTTGCTCAACACCAACATGGGCCAGTTCAGCGAAGTGTTGTAAACACATGGAAGGTGCTCTGTTGATTTGCCCATATTCCCTGTTTCTAAAGAAAGCTGAATCGCAGCTCCAGACAGCTTACAATAATTTGGCCCAAAGTGTTTGCTGACCACAAGGCTCTCAGCACCCCTGGCACCTAGCTGTCTCAAAATTCCCCAAGTTCGCCATGCGGGTTTCAAGCCTGTGGGCCCGCTGGATGTTCTCGCACTGGGCGAACCAGGCGGAATCCAGAGCGGCTTCCTGAGCACTTAACCCGAAGGCAGCGGAGAAATGAAACACCTCGCGGACTCGCCGGCAGAGTGGGCGGGTGGATGCGTGGGGATTTTGGTGGTCAAAAATAGGGCAACCCCCAACAGTCTAAGAGTAACTTCCATTTCCATTCTTTCCAGGGTCCCCTTGAAAGGAACATGGAGTTCCAGGATCTGGCAGCTTCCATGTAAAAAAGGTGGGAGGGTAAATGTCTAGGGGAAGCTTCCATTTCCATTCTTTCCAGGGATCCGTCTTTCTACAAAACCACCAAAAACCCTGGGGAGTGTCTTGAAAAGAAGCTCAAAAAGCGGCCTCATGTTTTGGGTCGTCAGGTCAGTATTTGGCAGTAACCCGACCGATAGAAACTGGGAGCCGTTTTGTTGGGGGGGTTTTCATGTTTACTATTTGCTGATGAGAGCCCGCACGAAACAAACTGGGCAATTTACAGGCCACTGAAACAGGAAACTGGGAAACCCTTTTGGACACCACTGAAAACAAGAAGGGAAAACGGACTGAGCCACTGAGACATTCGGCCTCAAGTCAACGCGACCTTTCGATGTGGTTCCGCGCTTGCAAGGCAAAAGCCAAACCATGTGGGGTCCCTCAAAAAAGAGGAAACACTGGTATACTCACACCTCCACCATTATACATTGGGAAGGGGATTGGCCTCTTTGTCTGTGAGCCTGTCAGCATCTTTCAGAACTATTTATAGATTTCCAGGAACTATTGTAGGTCCTCCAGTAGAGAGGTTAGAAGAAGGGTACCCGATTTTTTCCGATAGTCTATTAGTAAAGGGGCACTACTGGGGGACCTAGATTATACACCAGTATACACCCATACATCCTTTTAAGCTTTGAACATGGCTCTGCCATACGCCATTTTGTTTCTGAGATGAAGCTTTGAACATGGCTGCTCTGCTTGCCATGGGATGGCCTAAAGCAACCCGCCCCTTGCACCTCCGCTTTGGGTTTCCAATGGTTCAAATGACTTTGTGGCCAAAGAAACCAAAGAAACCACCCAAACCGCCGAGTTGCAACCTTGACCCAGCACTTTTTCAGGTTGGTTTTCCTTTTTTAGGGAACCTCTGAGTAACACCTCACAGATCTGTCAAGGGTGTGGCTAAAAAATCGGAATCGGCCCGAAATGGAACCCTGGTGCATGGAAAAGTCGGCTACAACCTGCGGTCCCTGGCTACCCTGCATGATTGAGGTTTTGGTTCATCTTAGGCTATCTGGTGACATTTGTCACCAAGCTCCTGTTCAAACCTCCGGTTTCAGCCTGCCTCTGCATTCACATGGAACCTACGGTCTGGTTTACCCGAAATTCTCCAAACCCTTCCCTCACACCCCAACCAAAACTCCCCCCCTCCCCCCCTCCCAAAAAAAAGAAGAAGAAGAAACCGCCCGCCCGCACCCACCCCCTCCCCCAAAACATCCGCAAACCCGAAACCCCGCCCTCGGCGCGCATCTTCGGATCTCACGCCCCAACCAAAATCCCCTCCCCCTCCCAAAAAGACGCCTCCCCCCCCACCCCCCCCCAACACCCACCCCTCCGCCCCCAAATAAAAAACAACAAAACCCGCCAACCCGAAACCCCAGCGCGGCTCGCATCCGTTCTTCCTTTGGCGCCCCGGCCGCGGCAGCGCGCTTCCGGGGCATGGGGTGCAGCAGCCGGCAGCAGAGGTCCCTGGCCTCTGCCGAGGCGCTCAGCAGCGGCAGCGTGGCCTCCGCGAGCGCTCGAGCGCTTGGTTCCGCGGCTTCGAGCGGTGGCCGAGGAAGCGGTGGCGAAAACCGGGCTGTGGTTGAAACGGAATCCACGAATCTGGGATACAACAAAAAGGGCCTAGCCCCAAAGACTAACCCCCCATATAAAGGGGGAGATTCCCAAAAGTATCACAGAAGTGGTTGGATAAACCCCTTGATCCCACAACCCTGCTTTTATTCGAAACATATGGCCATGGGTCAAAAGCCGAATCGGTTATCCCCCAGTGAACATCCGATTCAATCCAACCACTAAAATAGGTTCTAAAACGGGTGGTGCCCCTACACCAAACATGGTACCATTGGTTTTGACCAACAGCCATATGTGGAAATGGGGAACACTCGGGAAACAGGGGAAAACATGGAAACACAGGAGCAATAGATGGAACACTTGCATAAAACTCACAAGGAAATAGGTGGAAATAGGTGGAAATCGGTGGAAATTAGGTGTAAATGAGAGAAAATACACATAGGGAAAACATGGGAAAACAAGGGAACTAGATTTGCCAGACCAAAACTTGGCTTCATATTTGTACATTTGGATCTCCATGAAAACTCCGAGAGTGATGGTCCTGGTGTTGGAACTACATTGGTCCATAGACTCATGGTTCTGGACCATGGTGACCAAGTAAATGAGTGTTGCGATGGTGAGAATGGGTAGGTGTCCCCAAACGGGTTTTACCCTTTAAACCAAGGTCAGAATTAATTACTTGTTTCCCCTATAGGACATCGGACTATTAGGCTCGTCCCTTGAATTTTGTGGTTGCCTTTTTGGGATTGGTTTGAGAGCCAATCAAAGGGAAACCAACCATTTTCGGGGTCCCTATATTAAGACACGCCCTTATGTGACAGCTGAAGTGGGTCATAAGAACCAACAAAAAAACCATGCCCTTTTCTCAATTTAGAGCTCTTACGAAAAACAAGAGGGTTCCTTTCTTCAAATGCCTTCCCTCTTTAGCACCCCACTCCAAAACAGCAGCCCGCTTTTAGAGGAATCTTCTCCCCCGCTTTGATCCTGGTGCGGATTTTGGTTTCCAGGAACATTCGCCGAGGTCGCAATAGTTTGGGTCTCCTCTTCTTAATCGGCTCATCTGCATGGGCCAAGGGGTACTTTTAAACCCACTTTTAATCCCCATAGCGTTGATGGGATGTACCAGTTCTTGGTACTAATATATCAGTTAACTTCTTGCCCTTTGGTTTTCTCTTATTTTTGATGACCCAAGACCTTAGATGCATTCTTGGTATTAAGTTGACAGTTGCTGCCATAGAGAACGCATCTAATGTCTTGGTGGGGGGGGTGGGTTGGTGGGTGGGTGGGATTTCAAAACGAGGTCCAGCTCTGCACTAAACATCAAACATGATCAGGTCCTACTTCATATGATTGTCTCTCTTTTTTTGAGGGTGCCCGTTTTGGGCTGTTTAAACAAAGGCAAACCAGCAGGACAACCGCTTTGTTTTTTTCTGGGGGTGGGTTCCCCATTTTGACACATACCAATATGGATAGTCATTTTAAGTGATTGGACCCCTTGGTGCACATCCAGTTTTGAGGGGTCATGGTTGATTAGACTCCAGAAGAGGCAACCCCTGCAGCCGGTGGGAATAGAGGTCTGCACAACTCCCACAATTCACCTCCTCTAGGTCCTCCAGTAGAGAGGTTAGAATAAGGGTGCCCTTTTCTCCTCTGAGGTCTATTTTAGTAGGGGAACCCTCCCCCGCAAAAGGGGTGAGAAAGGGCACTACTGTACTGGGGACCTAGGAATGGCTAGCAGCCACTCACTTGGTCGCACTCTCCACGCCCAAAGCGGAACCACCCAATGAGAGAGCCACTGCTGGGGGACCTAGTCAAACAACGACGCTCCCCTCGAAAAACACCCCAAGAAAGTTCAGCTAACATTCCGGCCTCCGACATTCCGGCCTCCGACTTCTCACCTGCATCCTCCATGCAGGGGATCTGCCCGCTGAGCAGCACATGCAACACGCAGCCCAGCGACCACACCTCAAAAAGCCCCCGACTGGTGGCTGTGTGTTTTTTTGGGAGGGTGCCTCCTTTTGGGGTGGTTTATGAAAAGGGAAACCAATCGGAAAACCACTTCCTCTTATTTTCTTTGGGGGGGGTACCCCAGGTTTGATACTTATGTAACAGCTGAGGTTGAAGTGGTTGGACCTCTTTGGTCGACATGTGGGCATCTTTTGGGAGGGTCCACTGGTGGCAGGTCCGGAATCTTTGCAGCCAGTCAGCTTCCCTCGAATTGGTTGCCCTACAACACAAGACTTCGGCTGTGCAATGCTGTATGCTAGAAGTCACTTCCTCAAATCGGTCAGAAAATGCCCAAACTCTTTGTCGTGGGAACCCAGCTACATTCTATTTGGCTTGGATGGATGTTTGAAGAAAGAGACCCAACAACTCATCCAAAATAATAAAATAGAAATAATATAAGTCTAGATTTTAATGGGTTTGTGACTGATGAAAATATCCTTCTCTCGTCACTTCTCTTTCCTCTAATTCTCTTCCTCAAGTGCTTTCCTGTGGGTTTGTTGGGAGCAGGAAAGAGGGAGAGGATGATGGTCAACAACAAAGACTCAAGAACCTTCTCCTGGCTATTTCCGTTCCCTTCCCATCCACTGTTGATGATTGATAGGTTTGGAAGTGGATAGGTGGGAAGGGATGAATGAAGAATCCAGATGACACGAAGGAATGGATTCTGAAGCTATTTCTCTTTCATATTGTCTGGATTCATCTTTTTATATTTGCCATCACTTTATATTAATTCTGAGATTATATGGTTTGCAAATAAAAGAATTATGATGGCAAATAATAAATCCACAAGCAATAATAAAAGCATATGAATGAACTGTTGGTCGTCTTTTCATCAGGTACTTCTTCTTTACCATCCGTAGCCAAATAATAAAACCAAGATGAAGACACACAAAGGAAAAAGATGGTGAGGAGAAGAGAGTGAGATGGAATGAAAGGATGGTGTAACCTCATTCCTCATCTTGGATTCTTGGTTTGGAGACACGAAAACGAGCACCCGCTTTGTTTTGTGCCATGAAGAAAGAGCGTGATGTTTAGATTATGTGCCATGTTTAGCCAACCTCAAAAACTTAAGACATGTTCTAAGGAGACTTCTGAATCAACCGCCCCCAGACGTTCGGAAGCTGAGCTCTAGGCATCGCCGGCTTGCAGCAGCAGCAGCAGCTCCTGACTGGTGGGTAAGGAATTGCGTCAGCCGCTGGGAGCCCGAAATACACCGAACTACGTCAGCCCGAATCAGTTCCCTGGGTACACCAAACTCCATGTTTCAGACAACTCCACAACAAAGAATGACATGCTCAAACAAATTAATTGCAGGGCACACCAGGTGGCACACCAACATGATCTAATTAGGACTTCATTAATAATAAACATGTTTTTGCCCCGGAGGACCAGCTTTATATTGAGGGGGGGAGCGTGTTATTTTTAGGGAAACAGGATTATGTGCATGTTCAGACTCTGTTTCCTGTTTAGCCTGCAAACATAGAATCACATCTGAGACTCCAGTGACCTGAGCATGCCCCACTCCCACGTGCATTCTAGTCTTCCCCTTTATCTGGGATGGCACGCTCGTGCGCAGCGGGAACGAGCCGCAAATGAGACATCGACATCTTCAAGAGATGGTAAAACGGCACCGCTCCGCGACCATTCCATTCAGCCAAAGCGCACATAAAGGGAACATCCACACTTTGGCTTCAAAATGAGGTGACCCAACTGAACTTTGTTTCAGTTTAGGGGGTCTCACCAACCCCCAAGAAGGGCTCCCGCACAGAAACACACACACACACGACAATTGCAGATGTAATATGAAGAGCCGCGCATCGAATGAGCTTTCTCAACTTGGAAACCATCCGAACCCCTCGTCCTTTGAGACAACCAGTCTCACAAAGCTCCAGTTGGCTTCGCCATGGATTTGCCGGCGCTTTACGAGCCCGCAACGGATTTGCTGAGGCGAAAGGCGCGCTTTGTCTTCGAAACTGTGTCCCAAGGATTCAAAGATGGGCCCTTACACAACCAGAGCCAAGACTCAACAGAAAATCTCAAGTGGCTGGGGGCCATTCCTTGATCGGGCCCGATTGAAGCGAAACTCACAAAGAAAACTGTTTGAGGGGAGTTTCTCAAAATGGTCGGAAAGCTCGCTTTCTTTTGGGTGTGCTCGTTTTAGGGATTTCCCGTTCTGGGTTGGGTTTTTAAGGGCAACGAAACCATGTCTTTTTGGGGGGTTCCCCTCAAAATGATGCCCCCCCCCCCCAACGAAAAGGAAGCCCGGACCATGTTCGGGGACCGCTCCCTAGCACTTCACAAAGAAACTGTGAGAACAGGATCTTCTTCTCCAGTCAGCAATCCAAAAGGCGAGTCGTTCCCGCCCATGGGAATGAGGGTTGGGAAACACCATTTCTGTGATACCAGGGAACTGTACATGAAGAATGAACAAAATGGAAGGCCTTCCGGTGGTGTACTGTTCCAAACAAAGCACAAAAGGTGAACAAAACACTGGGCCAGAACCGCGGTCCAGGAGTTGTAGGGAATCCTTCCAGTAGATGAAGGAAAGTAGGGCCTCCAGTAGAGAGGTTAGAATAAGGTACCAGCTTTTTTCTGTAGTCCATTTCAGGAGGGAACCCTCCCCAAAAAAAGAAACGGTGATAAAGTTGGCACCTAGCTGGGGGGACCTAGCCATTATACACCAGTATACACCCATACATCCTCTGAAGCTTTGAACATGGCTTTGGTTGGAATGGGGAAGCCCTTAAACAAAATCCAGCAAAGTACAAAGAACCCTTCGCAGGGACTTGGCCCAACCCTCGCTCCTGCGCGCGTCGCGCGGAGGAGTCTTGGCCCAAGGAGCTGATGGAGACTTGGCTTAGGTCCTGGCCGTGTCCAGCCGGGGTCAAAATGGGTGTGGGTCAAGAAGAGGAACACGTAATTGAATCCTGGCAAATGGAAACAAGGACTGGGACCTGCGGTCCCCTAGTGGCTTAATTTTGACCCATAGCCAAATGTCAACTGAGTCAATGCCTTCCGCCTAGCCCTTTGACCAACCCAAGAAGACAGAATTTACTAGGTCCTCCAGTAGAGAGGTTAGAATAAAGGTACCCTCTTGTTGGAGGCTTGATGGAACCCTGGAGAAACAAAGTTGATCATTAGGGATGTTCCATTTAAAATACAGCGAATTATTCACTCTGGGGGGGAGACTTCCGCCGCGAACCCTTTGACCAAACCCCGAAGACAGAATATGACATTTGCCAGTAGTGTTTTTGTTTACCAACTTTTTTGAAGGAGGGTTCCCCTACTAAAATAGACTACAGACAAAAATGGGGACCAACTTATTCTAACCTCTCTACTGGAGGACCTAGTCTAAGTCCTAGTTCAACTTTTCTTCCCCCAATTTGCCAGGTCTTATCCTCAAAGGGTATGTTCTAGAAATCTGGTAGCACAACCTTTGACAAACGAATGCGGGTGCCAATCAGGGGTTCTCCGTTAGTAAAGAAATGATACCCGAATTTCTTTTGAAAGGCTCCCAGTTAGAGGCAAACCCGTCTTAGAAACCAGCAACAAGGGAATTTCTATGGGAACCCCTCGATGTTGGTAGGTAGTTGACCAACTTCCGGCAAACATTCATGTAGATGTCTGTAGCTGCTTCTCTCACTTTCTGAGTGGATGGGCCCAAAACAAAATCTGAGCTTTATCTATTTGTCGCCAACATTGTTTTCCCACAAAGTGACTAAAGCTCGCTTCCTGAGTTGATTGGCCAAAAAAAGTTCAAACTGTATATTTACCACTAAAATTGTCTTCCCAAAAAGTTTAAAGTTCATGAACTCAGGAAGTGACCAAAGTCCGAAACGGAACTCAGGACGTACGTCACACCACGACGAAGGCCGGACAGCTCCCCAAAACCGCGCCTGGGAGTTGCCCCGTTGCAGCGAGGGCGACCTGGCGCTCAGGTGCAACCAGTTTACACGAAGCAAAAGACCTCCAGTTGCTGAAGTGCCCTGAAAGAAATGGTGATCATATGTCCATGTAGTGAAAAAAATCCCTCTAAAACCAACTGGGGAAAATATACGCATGGACCAAACATGGGAAAGCCAAAAGGTAAAAAGATGGAGTTGATTCAGTGAGGTTGACATCATTGGTTTACCTTCACCCATGCTGGGTGTTCCAAGCGTGAACTTTGAGATCATATGGCCGGCTTTTTGTCTTTCCCATCTTTTGGGGTGTTGCAGCCAGATATCCTCCTGTCCTGCAGCGTCATTGGCATCTATCTGGTGGCTTTTCATTTTCAAATACGGGCATAAATAAGGGCATTTATGCAAGTACTTCCTCACTGTTTTGTGCTCGCTCAGGAATTGGCTCCTTAGGGGGGTCCCCCCAAATTTGTTTGCATGTGCGGATGTCCACTTATGACCGTTGTCCTGGATCGCGCAGGCTCAAAACCAGGCTCATTGAGATGCTTGCAGTCATTGAGATGATGAGAATGAGTGCCAAGGCTTCCTTGCCTTCCTAATGGCAGTTTGCATGTACCTCGGTATTGCTTCTCCCGCCGACATCGGAGACTGCAATTTTTTGCACATCTCATAGCAAATGCCGGAGTTTTCAATCTAAATCAGTTTTTCGCGCCTGAAGCTTCAAATCTCTCCTGGTAATGTCTTTGCGCTCCTGGAATACTAACAACTGCCGCCCTGGAATCACTCGCCACACACACACACACACACACGTCCTTTTTACAACTTCTGACACATGGCTGTCACGTACCCTGGAGATCAGACTTCCAAAGTCGCATATGACATCACACCCTCGCTCGCGCTCATCATCCTCTGCAGAAAATAGTGGCTTCGCATCCTCGTTCTTCACCCAGACTTCCAAGCCCGAACCCGCAGCGGTGATTTTCATCAGCGGACTTTGACGTGAACTCCCGTTGCAACGCCCATGTCCAGAAGCTCTTCACGAAGCTTCCCGACGCCGGTGTATCCGAATCTTCGGGGTGCCACGGTGAGTGGTCTCCACATGAGAGAACCTACAGCACGGTTGGGGTTGCCTTTAACATAACCCCCAAGAAGGGTAGCCCTACAAAACACCATTGACCAAAGGGAACACCAAAATGGTTCGCTACAAAACATCGACCCCGGATTTAAAAATAACTGTTATTTCATATATGGGTGTTCCCCTCTAAAAGTGATCACAGCCCCTCAAAACCAGGGAAGCCACCCCCATATTCATAAAAACTAGACTTATTTTTCCACTTCCGGGGTCCTTGCCTCACCCTAGGGAGCCATAGGCAACTGGAAGCCTCCGGCCCCCTTCATGGCATCGCCTGTTGAGAGTCTCCACGCTCTTGGAGCTGCGGAGCATGCAGGGCGCCGCGGTGGCCAGCTGCGCGTATGAGCTGCACACCTTCCAGTTCAACCAACGAGGCACAGCAGCTCGTCTTTTTCTTGGGATGTATTTGGAACTCCCAAGAAATAGATGGTGGTACCTCAAAAAAGGGAAGTGAAAAGAAAGGCACACGATGCACCACGCCGAAATAGCGAATTGGCCTGTTTAACTTTTTTTTTTTGGATTTGGACCCCACCAAAATGGCTTTGGTTGACCCCTTTAAAACCACAAAAACAAAGAGTCACTAAAACAAACAAATAAAAGAGAGAGAGAGAGAGAGAGAGAGAGAGACCCCACTGGCCTAATTTTCTGGCGGTGCAAACGACCTCCAAAGGTTTGCTCCTTTGCGATCGGGTTTTGTGGCAACATGGACGACCAATTCCTGCTTTGCTATCCATCCTCAAAAACCAGCCAGCAATTTTAATCAACCCCCGAAGAACTGATTTAAGTTCAAGGTGAAACGAAGAATTGGTTTAACTTCAATGTGAAAGGGAAACCAAATGGTAGGTTGAGGGTAGGAAAGCGCAGTCTCTGACTTTGACTCCCAGTCTATATGACCTCTTACAAAGACCTTTATCTGGGGATAGGAAGCCACATTATATTGGGAAATGTTCATGTTCTATCGGAAACCAACAGGAACTCTATAATTAATTTTGTTGGGGGGTAGGAACCTCGCTTTTGTGGGGGAAACCTAAACAAATACCTATTGGATGAGTGTTTTTAGCGAATTTCCTGCTGGGGTGATGTTGAACCACATGGGCGGGGGGGGGGGGGGGCGTTGTCGCCCAACAAAAAACGATGAGAAACCAAAATCTAGGGGCCTGTCTCGAGACATTCAATGAGAATCCGAGCCTGGCTTTGGAAGCGCCAAATGTCGGCCCAAGGAATCCGAATGCAGTTCCCCCTTAAGAAGAGCTAGGTCCTCCAGAAGAGAGGTTAGAATGAGGGTACCAACTTTTTTCTGTAGTCTATTTTAGGGGAACCCTCTATTTTAGGGGAACCCTCCCAACCAAAAAGTGGGTGAGAAAGCTTGCACCTAGCTGGGTGACCTAGGCCTTAACAGCATCAAACAGGCCAGGCTCAGGGCCCGTCTGCCTGCCAAAGGGCCCCACCTTTCCAGTAAATCACGTTTCCAGAATTGGACGCCGCTTTCGTGGTGTTCCATCCCTGCTTGCTTACTTGAACGGGGACCGGTAGGGCGGTCCCTTTGTATTTCGGGAAAATACGGTATTGCCTCGAAGAGGCAGGCTTGATGAGTGTGTGTTTGTTGAGGGTGCCGTTCTCAAGTAGTTTTCAAGGTAAACCAAAGGGGAAGTCGCCCTTTTCTGGGGATCCTGGTGCCAACCCAAGTGGCTAACGTCCGAAGAGTTACCCTCCCTCCCACTAACAAGGCAACAAACCAGGTATCCCCCCCAACGGAAAATCTGTGCTCGACTTCCGCGAGTGACATCTGTTTGCTCTAAGGGGACAATGAAGGAACACCACCACCCGACCACCCCTTACCCCTTAAAACTCCAAGGATTGGGGAAGTTAATCTTTTACAGACATATAGCCCATGTTCCCCCCAAAAAGTTGAAAAGTTGTGTTTTTAAGAGGTAAGACCCTTGTTTTAGTGTTTTAAGGGGAAACCACAAGGAACGCCGCTGCGCCACTTCGGGGCCCCCGAGGCCAAGAAAGACACACCCCAATTGACCAGGCGAAATCCTTTCAGTAAGTCGGCTACTTTTGTTCCCCCACCCCCCGCCCCAAAAAAAAAGAAGACATACCAGTTAAACCAGCGAATGCGTTTAAGTAAGTCTGGCAGTGGAACTCGGCGTCCCAGGGAACTGCTCTACTGCCTTTCGGGATTTCGGGATGTCTGAAGCGTCTAAGCGAGCTGACTGCAATCGAGCGGCCCCTTGGCTTTCGGGCGGCAAGCAAATGGAGCCTGACAGGCGAGGTTTCACCCAACTGACGACGTTTCATTGAAACCCACCCCACCACTAAGCATTTCCCTCAAACGCTCATGCATGCCAGGTTTATGTGATAACTCTGGAAAGCCCTAGAATGTTTTTGGTCGGACGCACGAAAATGGCGCGCGCTGCGCGGCGTTCCTCTTTGGTTTTCCTTTTACCACCAGATCAGGGGGGGGGGAAAAAGCACAACCAAATACATAATTTCCAACACACTTGGAGCTCTTGAGAAATCAGGGATTGGCAAATCCTCATACCCAATTCTATTTGAACCAGGACCTTAAGCTTTTGTTTGGAGGATGTTCCGGACTGCTCTCAAAAACATGGCCATGGGTCAAAATCCTGTACCCCCAGTGAACAGCCGATTCAATCCAACCACTAAAATAGGTTCTAGAATGGGCGAATTCACCAATCCCAACCAAATGGGATCCCATTGGTCATTGGCCCGCACCAAAATGAATCATTTTTCGGCTTGAAGGGAATTGACTTACTGGCAAACAAAGGGAGGTTTCTGGCTGGTTTCGGTGTTGACAACCACAGCCACTCAAGAAACAACACACTGGGAGCCAGGACCCTATTTGTTGGCACGGGGAACTGGATTTCCACGTCGAACGATTCCACGATTCCATGATTCCCCCGCCAATACCAACAAATTACACCAGCATAGACCCCAGACAGCGAAAAACAGGGCAATGATTGCACACCAGCACCTCCGACAGACCCGCCCAAGTTGATAAAACAAATTATTCGCAGCATAGCCTGAGGAATTCCTTTCTGCCCAGGAGTTCATGAATAGGATATTGCTGCCTGCAACTGTGTCTTATGGTTCTAAATGCTTGCTGTTCGTCCGGCGTGGGTGACTCTTCTGGCGCGGGCGATGGCTGCCTGTCTACAAATATAGTAGGCATAGAAACACAAGAAGCAGCCCAAAATGCAGTAAGGTTCTATATAAATCGTCAAACAATTAGAGAACATGATGAGAGTAGATGCGTGCCATATCATGTCGCAGATCTCGCATGCTGGCTCAATGTTCAAATTTGACTGAAGGATAGCTGGTGAAGAACTGTGACTTAGAACGTTTGGATCCTGCGCAACCTACTGTAAGTGGTCGGACATTTAAACAAACACCAATGATGTAGGGACCCCTGCCAAAAATCTATTTTTCTGGGATTGGGGGGAGGGGCAACGTCACGTTTGCAAAAAAAGTATTTTTCTGGGATTAGGGGTGGCGCAGTCGAAATGCGTTCCTAGATTTTGCAAAGTCACGATTGTACGTAAATACCATCCAGCATGCTCAGACCAAATCGAGCACCCTGATCTAACCCCGGCCCCTGACTCTTATCGTTAGAACCCTATCAGTGCAGCATACTGTTTCGAGAACCTTGTTCGTCTATCCAGCTGACTCAACTACCAGCAAACGCGCCAGGTGCGCCCTTTGACAGCCCTCTTGGCGACGGTGTCGACCACTTTGCGATCCGAGCAATATCCGGACAGTTCGCCAGATCGAGAACCGGCCTGCGGCTGAACATCTTCATGAGCTTCTTGCAACGCCTTTTTAGGTATGTCCGAGCCATACTCGACGTAGTACTCGAATCTATCCGAGCAGTACCCAGCACAATCTCAATATCCAGACGGGCCCCCAGATCGTGAACCGACCAGTTGAGAACCTTAGTTACATTGGACTCTTGAGGCGCGGCACCGTCCAGGGGCACAGCCTTTTCGCACGCTTCTTTGTTGGCGCTGAGCCATGTTATGTGCTGCTGCCAGGACACTGGCTTATTGGCCCGGCTCAGGCGCATAGCCCGAGAAATTCCTTTCTGCTCAGGAGTTCATGACCCTCCAGGATCGTGAAAGCTATAGGATATTGCTGCCTGCAATATAACCGACTGCAGCACGTGCCGATTTGTACTGTATCGCCTCTCGACCCCAGTGGGCATCCAGCGAGCACAGCAAGGCAATCCCTTTGCTCGGGTTTTCGTAGACCCAAATCCTCTTTATCGTCTTTATCATCCTGAAGTTCATGCGCGTCATCCCAGGTGGCACTATTTGCGTTTGCACCGCCTCCCACTCACAGGCATCTCCTGCCAATGTGTAGCTCAAAAGGAGAGAAGGCGCTGTTGAGTCTGCAAATGCCGTTGGGGTTGTCCTTATTTCAGCCTTATTTTGGCGTTATTTCACAAATCTTCAAATGCCGTTGGGATTTCGCATTATTTGGGCCTTATGTTGGCCTTATTGCAAATCTGGGTGGGGGTTGCCCTTACTTTGGCCGCATGTTGGCTTGATTGCAAATCTTGAAATCAGGTGACCTTATGGTTCCCTTTCTGTTTGATTTTAGGTAGGGTTTGGCCCTTTCCTTGACACAGATTGTACTTTTCAATCAATGGTAGTTGGCTAGGGGGTAGTTAGACATACCATGAGGGAGTTGCTTCTTTTGCGTCTCCATGAAGCGTTTTCCACCCCCCCCTGACAACCAAATTGGCAACACACAGTGTATTAAGGCTTAGGGGTTGCTTTGCTACAAGGTTCCGCCTGCGCTCTGTGGGAAGCGCGCGTCCTCCCCGTACTTGCATCTTTTCTGCAGAGATGCGACCAATGGCCTGGAAATCCTGTACAGGCGCACTTTTTCCTAGCCTCCTTGACCCCATACGAGGCTAGCTCCGCAAATCTGCACGGCGCCGGGCAGCGCGCTGCTTCCTCCGGGTAGCATGTTCCTTCTTCCTCATTCTGGAAACACATATGGTGCAGATGCCTATGGCGCACTTGCTCATCCAGCGGGAAGTATGGCATCGCTTTTTCACCGGCTTTGCCTCTCTCCCTTTTCCCTTTTGAACCAGGCGAGAGCCGAAATGCCTCTATTCGTCGCGCCAGCAATGCCAAAGTCCCTTCAGACCAGGGAGTATCCCCGTTTATGGGTCTATCGCGATCGCGGTAGCTCCTGGTCATTGCTGAGCTGCTGCGCCCTGCGTCCAATGGAGATGTCACCAATAGTTTCATCGTGGTCTTCCGCGTTGTTGATCCTGCTGACTCGGTATGTGTGCGCCTTGGGTATCACAAACTTGGCGGGCAGCTTGGACTCACTCAGGATGCGCCGGAGCTTCTTGCTGCGCCTGTACCCTTGCACTGCCGAACAGGAACAGCTGTACACTCCGTGATAGCTGGGCGGAATATTCACTGTACCCTCAATCGTATCTGTCCACGCCTGCCGCTCCCCATCGAACAGGTTCACGTCTATGGTATCAGGTGGATTGTCATGTCTGCCCTGCTCAAACCTTGCTTTTTTTTCTGGAGCCCGTCTTGTGATTCTGCCTGCTGATGCACAGCTCGGCGGTGTCGCCGTGCTTGACAACACGGCTCCCGTGCTTGTCCACCAACTCGATCATGCGGCCGCAAGAAATATATGTCAGAAGCCCAAGTTCGTATTGGCCTGGCAACACATCTTGTGCATTGTTTAAGACATACTACATTATATGAGAAATTGCGAAACCTCTTATGTAGCCAATGGACACCGGGTAAAGGTTCTCGTGTGTTTTGTATATGGGGGTTGCTCAAAAAAAAAAGTTCCTGGAAGCGGCCCTTTCGCCGGCCTTTCGCGGCCCTTTCGCGGCCCCATGTTTTCCTTTCGCGGTGACAAACCGGTCCTGTAAAGCTCGTTTTCGAGCCCAAACGAGGGTTCTACCATCAGCCTCCTAGATCGATGCAACTCGGCGAAACGTACAATCAGAAATGATCCAGAAAACACAAAAGCGCATCACGCATTTGTTGTCCGGTATTCGCCTCCGTATTCGTTATCTTTCAAGTCCTGTCGCGCTCCTTTCGCCGGCCTTTCGCGATGCAGTGTTTTCCTTTCGCGCTAGACCTTCAGAACGTCCCTTTACTGAATTTTAAGACTGGCAGTTTCGAGCGACCCCCATATGGGCAGCCGTCAGAGAATGTTGCTCGCAGGAAAGTGACTTAGCCCCTACACTGCGCCCTACACTTCAAATGGTTCTTGCACACGCATCCCTCCCTTGTGGCCTTGCGGCCGCTGCTCGAATGCCAGCCACCGAGCCGCCTGACGGCCGAACTTCGAAACGAAGCCACTTGAACAACCAAGCTGCAACACGGCTGCATAGACGAACAAAGTTCCCGGAACAGTATGCTGCACTGATAGGGCTCTAACGATAAGAGTACGGGCCCGGGGTTAGATCAGGGTGCTCGATTTGGTCTGAGCATGCTGGATGGTATTTACGTACAATCGTAACTTTGCAACATCTAGGAACGCATTTCGACTGCGCCACCCCTAATCCCAGAAAAATACTTTTTTTGCAAACGTGACGCTGCCCCCCCCAATCCCAGAAAAATAGTTTTTTGGCAGGGGTCCCTACATCATTGGTGTTTTTTTCAATGTCCGACCACTTAAAGTAGGTTGCGCAGGATCCAAACGTTGTAAGTCACAGTTCTTCACCAGCTATCCTTCAGTCAAATTTGAACATTGAGCCAGTGTGCGAGATCTGCGACATGATGTGGCACGCATCTGCTCCCATCATGTCCTCTAATTGTTTGACGATTTATATAGAACCTTACTGCATTTTGGGCTGCTTCTTGTGTTTCTACGCCTACTATATTTGTAGACATGCAGCCATCGCCCGCAAACATGGGGTCAGCGCGTAAAAGGCAACGCGTGCGTTATGCAAACCGAGCATGGCTGCCCATATTTTGCTTTATAGGAGACATTGAGCGCAGGAAACATGTGTCTCCTGTTGTTGCAAGGGTGCTGATGTATTTAAGCAACAGCCGTCAGGCAGCGACCTTCCCCGGCGATTCCCCGCCGACAAGGAGGCTTGGAGCTACAGTGTGTGTGTGTGTGTGTGTGCGTGCGTGCGTGCGTGCGTCCCCCGTCTTGAAAGCAAGCCTATGTTCGAAGCACCACACTAAAAGATCGCACTGCTGCAGGCTCGAAAGCAAACGTGCATCGAAAAGCGACGAGTACCGGGCCTGCACGGCGCTGATGAAATGCACCAGCACCCTTGCATGTACCAACGGGAAGCAATGCCTATCGCCTGTGAAACGAACATATGGGCAGCCATGAGACAATGTCACTCGCCAGAAAGTGACTTAGCCCCTAGACTGTGCCCTACACGGCTGCCAAAAGGAAACCAACGGAGTTTGGCCTCTGAGGCCGGCCTCCGTCAGCTCCGAGTGAGGAGTATAGGGCCGGATCTGCGTGTCGGAAGCCGAATATTGCGCCTGGCACCCCGTCTTGAAGTTCGAAGCACCACACTAAAAGCATCCCCCGCAACGTATTGCACTGCTGCAGGCTCAAAAGCAAACGTGCATGGGCCTGCACGGCGCTGATGTGAAATGCATCAGCACCCTTGCATGCAACAACGGGAACCAACGAACATATGGGCAGCCATGAGACAATATAGACAACGTTGCTTGCCGGAAAGCGACTCAGCCCGTACACTGTGCCCTAATTACACTTCAAATCTTGCACACGCATCCCTCCCTTGTGGCCTTGCGGCTGCTGCTCAAATGCCAGCCGCCGAGCTGCCAACCCCGGCTGAACTCGATGGGATCCCGCCTTGCGCGCAAGGCGACAACGCGCTCACTGACATCTGTGACATGACACGCGCTGGCCGTCTTTTTGACCCTCCGCGCTGCGCCTGTCCTCTGCGCGGCGCTAAGGGTCCCCCGCCCCATACGGATGCCACGCATCCAGATCCGCAGCCGCTGCAGCCTTATGTCGGCACGGCCTTCTGCACGGGTTTTGCCGTGTCTCTTGATGTCCGTGTCGCGGCTTCTTCGCATAGCATGCATTCGGGTAAATGTTGGCAGCATGCCGATTCCGGGCGCAAGATGCGCACATCATTCCAAGGTTCCATACTGCGAGGCGTGTTGCCAAGATGCGTCGCACTGAGAAAATTGGACTGTTGAAAGAATAATCCTGACATTGGGTCACTCAAATGGTCTATGATTAGGATGGGCCAACCCCTACATTTTGAACAGCCCAGCCAACACGCACGAGGCTAGCTGCAAGGCTAAACTTGCAAAAATCCGGGGCTATTCAAATCCGTGCCACATCCGCCCAGAATTCCAAGCGTCGCGGCATGGCATATATCCGGAGCCGGAACTACTCGGAGCCAAACGGAATGCCGTGCTCCGTACAGTGCTCGTGAGCCACCGACGCCACACGAACCACGTCCGCCCAAGATTGAAAAGTTTGCATAGTAGTGAATTCAGTGAACCTCGAATATGCAGCCATAAACGCGTCCAATTCACACCCCAGCTCTGCGTTCACAGCTGGCGACGATAGCGATGCCGGGATCACCCAGTATGCAACGAGCGCCTCAAGGAAGTCGCCCAGCTTCTTCTGGTTGGACATGCCTGTGTCGCGCAAAAGCACTGGCTGCAGGATGCGAATGACCTCCGCAGCCCTCATGCCCAAGTCAGGAAAAGCGCACGCACGCACGCCGGGCCCGTCCAGGCAAAGAAGCTGCTGCGCGTGAAACGCGTGATGCCAACGCCCTCTAGTGATGGACCATTTATTGTGGACTCTTGAGGTGCGCTACCGTCCAGGGGCACAGCCTCTTGGCACGCTTCTTTGTTGGCGCTGTGCCATGTTATGTGCTGCTGCCAGGACGCTAGGTGTTGCTGTAGCTTAGCCACTGGCTTATTGGCCCGGCTCAGGCGCATAGCCCGAGTAATTAATTGCTTTCTGCCCAGGAGTTCATGACCCTCCAGGATCGTGAAAGCCATAGGATATTGCTGCCTGCAATAATCGACTGCAGCACGTGTCATCCGGTACCCGCTGTAGCTCCAAGCCTCCTTGTCGGTGGGGAAGGTCGCCCGGATCGTGCGATCCCACGCCAGCACATCGAACAGCGCCCCAAACAGCACCAAAAAAGCACCCCAAACTGCATGCCCCCTAGCACCCGGCCGTCAATCTCGCAAAAATGTGCCCACACTGTCACCAGCACCTCAAACAGTGCCCCAAACAGTACCCAAAAGAGCACCTGCACCAGCACCCCAAACTGCATGCCCCCTAGCACTCTAAACTCAATCTTGCAAAAATGCGCCCACACCATAACCAGCACCCCAAAACAGCACCTGCACCAGCACAAACTGCATGCCCCCTAGCACCCGGCGGTCAATCTCGCAAATCACTTTTCCCGCTTTATTAGAAGTTAGAACCCCTATAGCTTTCAGCTATCTGGGGAACAAATGGTGTCAACCATGGTTTCGAAGTGGTGCGAAATGGATTTTGTCCATCCATGTCCATCCACAGTGCATGATTAGATTTTCGCCCCGTTATAGAATGTAGGTTTTATCCTTTGCTTCACATGGAGTCACTGGAAACATGTAAAATGTATCCTAAGTCTACCCCAGATTCGTTCGAGAATTCCGGGTGCGTGATCGTGAATCCAGCGCGAAGTAAGCCCGATGACCCAACCCTGGAGCAAACCGCCAATATTTCAGGGTTCACCGGATTTTCCCCAAGAAGTTGATGAATTTACTGTTGGCTTCCAGTAAAACCGGCCGCTTTTTGGAGGGGACATGGGGCAAACCCTGTATTTGGATTCTGGTTCATATGCAGTGAAGTAAATATACTTGGAGTGACCCCGGGGCCAGGCCTCTAAGCTTCTAAGTGCCTCTCTTTTTTATTGAAACGGGACATTTCGTGGGAAATTTTCGCAGAAGGGCGCGTGAATGAGTGAATCAAGAGGTTCTTCCCATAAAAGAACCGCTTTTCTTTCTTTTTTCGCGTTGCAGTCCATCCGGAAAGAAATGGAAGCATGGTTGGAGCTGACGAAACTCGGTCCATGCGCCCAAGCGTATGTTTCAAACGAGTCAAGTGGCGGGAAAAAACAGGTGCATTTTGCCATAAACCCACCCATATTGAACCAACTCCAAGCTGCCAAATCAGGACCAATACACAGCCAGCCAGACAGCCAACCAGCCAGGAAACCAGACCCAGAAAAACCAGCCGTACCAAAGCAAAGACATCATCCGTCCCACGAACAAGGCGAAGCACCATTCGGATGTACAAAGTTATTCGGACTAGGTTTCTTGAGGGGACAATTCGGTTTCTTTGGGCATTCGACAAACATTTGAGACAATTTTTACTTTGGAACGCACATCTTCTCTTTGTTGTCTTCCAAAGTAAGAAACACTTGCGGCTTCTTCATGGATGAGCCGCGCTTTCCTAGGGGAGTGGGTGGGTGGCTTCTTGCGCGAGGTTTCAAGCGGTTGGCCAACCCACTAACAGTGTGAACTCCGCTGAGTTGGAGACTCATGAGTGGGTTATAGTCTGGTTGCCGTTCCAACCATAGGTGTCCTTTTAGGGGCAATAGATGGGTTTCCCTGGTGGATGATTCAACCTCCAACAGGAAGTTGCCGAGCGGTCCATAGGCATCTTCCATTTGCTGAAGTCCCCTGGACAAATGTCCAGTGATTCTAGGGGACACTTCCCCAATCTATCCAGGGATCCTTCTTTTCAGAAAACCAGCAGAATCCCAGGGGAAACAGCTGGTTTTTGAAAAGAACGATGGTTAAAAAGAATGGGGAATCAACCCCTAGAGTGATAGATTCCCCTTGAAGACCATCCGGGGACAATAAAAACACCTTCTGAAACAAACAAGCATGTTAATCCCACAAACAGCAGGAAGTCACAAGTCGCAGGGTAAGGTATTAAAAAGGGGAACCCCACAATGGTTGCTTTCCTTGTATGTTGCCGTTCAAACAAGTCCAAGCATTTGGTTTGCGCCTAAAATGGCCCAAACCCAAAATGTGACTCAAGTCCGAAACGTAACTCAGGAAGTAAGACAAGGACACGCTCCCATAGTCAGGTACCCTCAGTTGGTGGTTTGGATTGGTGGCTGGGCGTCAGGGGGCGCCATCCTGTTTTGTTTTCAAATCCAAATCCAAAACACCGATCCGAACAACGAACTAAGGGTAGCCGGACCATAGACCCTGAGTGGATGGCCCCAAAAAAAACACAACCAAACTCTCCACCTATCACTCAGGGTAGCCTGACCAAATCAGGGCTGTGGGGAAACCACTTCTGTGACACAACAAAAAGGGGCCTCCCAAAGAATTACCCATACGAGGGGGGGAGATTCCCACAAATATCACAGAAGTGGTTGGATAAACTTGTGATTTTTGTTTGCCTCTTGCCTCATGTTTTTGCTGGAGTTCTGGGACCCCTGGCAACTGGCGGATGGTCACCCACCCGACTCCACCTGCTGCGCCGACTCGACTCGCGCCTAGGGAGTTCTGGAAGCCCAGCGGCGCCAGCAGCGGCAGGCTGGGGTTCTTGTCGCTTTCGCTGGGCAGCGAGGCGGCGTTCAGGATGCTGGGGATGAGCTTCCGGTTCAGGCCTCGGCTCTCTCAATACCCCCATGGCCCATGTGGGTGGGGCGTGTCTGGTTTTAGTGGCACCTTCACCCCCCCGAAAACAAAAAGAGGGTGGGTGTGCTTTGATGTTCAAAATTCAGGTTGGTGGGGGTCCTGTGATTTTCAAAAATCGCGGACAGCGGGGTTTTGTTTGACTTGCCTCTTAAACCCAACCAAAATGGGTTACCTCTCCAAAAAAAGACAGACCCGTTTGTCGAGAACACATGAGTCACTTTCTGTCGATGGCAACCCAATGGCAGCAAGGAGCCCCCCGTCCCCACGAATCTGAAGGCTTTAGCTCGGATGTGAAGCCATGGAAGCAGGAAGTAGTAATCCTTTGCATCCAGCAAGTGACAACGTAGTTGTAGGATGGATGGACATCAACTGCTGTTTGCGCCGTGGTCAGAACTGCGTTTGTGGGCCAAAGTCATGGCTTCATGGATTGGAAGCCTTACAATGGCTCTCCAATTTGCCTATTAAGGGGTCCAAGGCCGACTCTACACACAAAGCAGGTTGTGTGCCCATGTCCCACCTCCCGTCACGCAGAGCTCTATTAAACACTTCGCATTCGGAGACCGAAAATCCGCCTGGGGAGTTTGAGGCCGCATTTGCCCCCAGGTCATTGTGCTGGAAAATGGCTGCAATCCCTTTGTGTGCTTCTCTGTAGTGCTTGGTTCACATCCCTTACATGCTTTGCCTACCAGGACTGTTCAAAATGGAGTGCTGGACAATCCAAATCCATCATCCCTATTGAACAACAAGTACAAAGGGGAACCGAAAGTATGGATCTTGACGGCTTTGAAAAGCCCAGACTTGATTACTTTAAAGTCCATGCCACAGGAAGCGGCGCAACCAAAACAGATCCAACGCCGGACGTAACGATCTCCTTGTCCTAACGCCACCAGGCAGTCTACCGCTACACCAACAAAATATATTGTTGGTTGGAAACCTCATACACGACAAGGCTGTTCAACTCAACTGAGCCGCGAGCAAACCTATTGACCTTTGGTTCTACCAACATGACTATAACAGCTTGTATAGGCCCTTGCTGTAACCCTCATAGAACAGGGAACGTAGAGCCACCTACTAACATGGTCAATACGATCGGTTTCGGGCACTGCTCAATTGTCTACCTCTTTGATGGCAAACAAGCACCCAATGTCGCTTCCCCTCTCGGACCATGCAAGCAACTCTGGGCGCGAGTTATGTGCCAATCGTCTCTCGTAACTCGTATGGTTGCTGGAGCCAAATGATGGGAGAACAAATGGTCCATACATTCGGCCGGATTGAGTCGTTTCATTTGCCGGTTCATGAAAGAATCCAAGCTTCACGATGGGCACACTCCCCTAATGAGGTAACAATTTGCCCAGATTTGGTGGGCAGGCGGGTTACGAAAGCTAACTTCCATGCCTTTTTTGGTACCACAAAAAACTGGCACATTTACCAGTTATGACCGTTTTGAAACCAGCAAGGGCGGGTAGCAGACACAGGAAGAAAGTACAAGTCGCCTGGCTACTTTCACATATCTTCACAATGCACAAAGCAAGCCCGCATAAGTGGGCTTTCCAGACAGCAACACAGAATAAGACATTCCGTCAGGTGATGACCATTTCCCTGTGAAACCATGGGGAAAAACAAGCAAACCTTCAATAAATGGACACAAAGGAAGCGACGAAACAACATACTTAACACAAACAACGCAGTAGCTAGGAGCTTGAAGGAACCCCAAGGAAGAATAGAAAAGGAAACCAAAAACATCAACGGATTTCTCTGTTTCAACCCACAAAAACAACAACTTATTCAAGTTTCCCTCCCGGAACAGAAAGCGGGAAGCCCCCCTGGGCGCTAACAAAACTTTCCGTTTTCCCCACTAACATAGCGCCTGACAGGGGGTTCCTTCAAGAGGACATTGCTCTCCCGTAGGTGCTTTGTTAGTACTCAAGTTTCCCCCAAGAACAGACAACGGGGAAGCCCCCCTAAGAAGCGCTGGCGATGCTATGAAAGCAAAGTGCTCAGCCCCACATCCATCAGCTTCAGCTGGTCGCAGTAGCAGGACCCAGACTCCTGCGAATGTCGGCCGCTCTGGGATATTTTTTGCTCACCCGTTCTGGGGTGAAGGGAAAACCGCGGAGGAAGCCGAAGCCATGCATGGATCTAAAGCCTATTTGCGAAGCAATATCCGTTCAGTTCGCCGCTCGCCCTTCTGCCAGCCCCAAAAAATACATAAACACAATAACATGGTGGTGTTCCGTTTTTGCTTCTTCTTTTTTAAACCCGAAATGGCACCTCACAAGTTTCGCACGGGTTCCGGATCTCTAAATTTCCCACAAAAACCAGAGGGCGGCTCCCTACCTCAAGGAAATGGGATCGAAACCGCGAAACCGCTAGCACACGTTGCATGGCGCCTTGACAAGTTGACACGTCTAGCGAGCAAAGGGTACCGGGAATCCTCGCAATCAGGGACACGAGGTTTCAAATACTTGAAAAATCGCATCGCTTTGCACAGGATCCAAAACCCGAGCAACTGGAAAGTCGACTAGAATTCGAATCACCATGAACCGTATCGAATGCGCCTTGAAAAAAAGAAGGAGACCCTCGGCTCCATGAAAAAAACACCTTGAGCTGGAGTCATTTTCAGCTTAAAAGTGTTTGAACAAGGCATTGGCACACAGAAAGATTGCCTGTACTTTGGCACATGACACTCTATGCCTGTTGGCAGCAATGTTGGTCGCCCGGAAAGAACACATGAGCCACGATGAAAATTGCTTGTTTCCCTGAGAGAATTAGTGTCCCCTGGTTTTTGTGGGAATTTAGAGATCCGGAGCCCGTGCGAAGCCAATGGGTGTGTCTTCTTGTGGGGTGCCATTTTGGGTTCAAAGAAAAATCAACAGGAATACCACCATGTTTATCTTTTTGTTTGTTTATATTTTTTTTTGGGGGGGGGGGTAACCTAAAACAGACACACACACACACACCAATCGCGGATTCTGAATAGACCGAGTGATAAGAATGACGAATTCGACATCTGGGTGTCTACGCCAAGCTTCTCTCACGGCTCCGAGTTTCGTGCTCCGATGGCTCCGGCCTTTTTCCGGGGCTGGGTCGCGAAGCGCATGTTCTCCAGGTGCACATTCCTGAGTTCCCAAAATGCGGCAGGCGGCGCTGCATGCGTTGCCGACAGGCGAGGTCAGAGGAAGATCCCAAATGGCGGTCCTTGTCTTTAGCTCAAACACATCTGTCTTTCCGAGCTTCACAAACACCATTTATACCATCCCATCTATACCAATTCATCTGTCGTCGGGCTTTCAGGGTGCACCACTCACCCTGACGTGGATAGGATCAATAGCTTTTAGCCTCCCAAGAAGTGGTGGGGTAGATTGCAGTGTTGCGCTGGAAAGATGGATAAACACATGAACAAAGAGGGGCATGTGACATGTGCCTATGGAAGCAAATAGCAATGGAAACGCGGCTCGCGTACCAAAACAAATTGCAAGGTTTGCACGATGCGATCAGCCCAAAACTCGAATTAGTAGCTCTACCCTCGTGTTTCATTCTTTCCTGCAATCCTTGAGCAAACAGCTAGGTGAATGGGGAATGCTATGAAAACTTTAGAGAACCTTTATATTTAATCAAAACCATTCCAATTATATATGTAAGCATGGGACTGTAAAATGTAATTTCTAGGTGAATGGGGAATCAAGCCCAAGGGGATCATAGCCGAAGTATGCGGCAGGCTTCCGAACTGTGTGACTATTGCCCTTTGACCTAAAAAGGACACACAAATCCAATCCAAAAATGATCGAACCGCACAAACATAAGTTGTCCATGTAAAAAACAAAAAACCGGCATGGACAAACACCTCCAGTAGCTTGAGACCCCTGCAAAAAAAAAAAAAACATCCAGCCCAACACTTCCGCGTCCATTCCTTGGATTCGATTTCAGCTGAGGCTCTGATGCGCAATGGAGAGGCCTTACCAAAGCCAGCGGATTTCCCATGGGGGAAGCAAAGTGAACCTCCCAGGAAGTGGACTAGAAAAAAAGGGGTCCCTATCCCCAGACATCCCAGGAAACTCAAGTGCAATAGACAGATTCGGGGGGTCCCTGCAAACACATGCACCAGTTTTTGTACAGTTGGCATCCATTTTCTCAAGTCTCCTTGAAACAAACGAACCAATCAACAGGGGAAACACAAACAACATACTCTTAAGCAACTGGAAGTTGCGTGAAAGCATTAGGCGCAATTCCGATTATGTTGGTCACTGTCCCGGTGCTCGGTTGTGTCTAGAGCTATCTTTTGCGGGAAACCTTCTTGGAGGTATCCCTATTCTGACACACATGCACAAATAGAGAGTAAAAAGGAACAACATTTGTAGGACACACCCTTTTCAACTACCCGTCCCTCAAGGCCCCCCCCCCCCCCAATATGTTCAGAGATGACAGCGCCTGAGGCTCGGCCAAGCGTGTTTCCAGGATGTGTTGATACTATCAATACGCCACGCACGAGGTACCCTCCCCCTCGCTAACATGGAAGCTACAGGACCACTTTGGAAGACATGGCTCCATTTGCAGAGGCCTTCTGGGAGCTTCCATGTTCGTCTGAGGGAGTGTAAGCTTAGATTCCGCAAGCTTCGTTTTCATCTGCATTCTCTGTCAACGTAGTCTGCCACCTCCAAAAAAAAAAAAGGTAGATCTTGTGGAGAGGCCAGCCATGCATATGTATATATATATATATATGTATATATATATATATATAGATAGATACTCATCATGCACTTATATATATATACACATATTTTCGACATGCATATGTATGTGTATGGCTCATGCACGTTGTAAGGCATGTCCTCCTGGAGCGCTGGCGTTTCCTCTGCAAGGCGCCGTGGAGGTAGGCCACCGCCATCATGATCGCCTTGATGGCCTCGTGAAAGGACTCAACTTGCTTTGCGCGTGAAAGGATGCGGTGGGCTTATTTTTCTTCAAAAAATCAATATTATGAATATTTCAGATATTCTAAATCGGGGCCCGGTGTGTTTTTCCTAAAAAACAATCATTATTCTACATATTTCAAATATTTTAAATCGCGGCCCGGGGGTTCAACATGGATGGCCAATCCTTTTAAAATGGATGGCCAATCCTGGCCTACAGTACTTAGGGGGGGTTTGATGATCCCAGCCTTAGAGTGAACACCAGAGGTATAGCTTCGCTTAAGCACTAGCCAAACGGGTGGGGATGCTGTGCCATATGCGGGTGTGGGAAACAAGAGGCATCATGTCATTTACCATTGGTTGCGGTCGGCTCACTTGCCACATGCTCGAGAATCATCCGTAGCGTTCAAGATGTCGAGATGTGCGCGCCAATGATATCTGGGCGGCCTTCTGAAGCATTGTGATGATCAAAACAACTCAACGTGATTCCCTGCGCAGAACGATACAGTAATCATTGAACGAGGAACCTGCATGTCTGTCTCCATATTGAATGTCCTTTGAGAGAAAAAAAGAAAGAAAGTGGTGGCGCCTCCTCGGGCGATTGGTCAAAGTTGCCTGAAAACATATCCAGCGATCAAGTTGCTGACTCTGTCTTTGCGGCATGCCCCATACAAATAAATGATTTAATGTCCAGCTGTGCTTGACAAGGGTACCTGCGTGTTTCTTTATGAGGGGTTGACCATGCTTGCCAAGCGCAGGTAGGGTGGTTTGATGCTGGCTATTTTCATCTTCATGGGGAGGCACACACACACACATTGCCTGTAGGCTAGCCCATGTGGCAAAGGGCATCTTGGAAACCGCAAAACCGCCATAGGGGAGCTTGCCTTTTGAAGGACCACGAGGGAGCTCCATACTTTCAAGCGAGTCTGTCGCGGGCTTGGTATGTGGATGCTGTCCAGAGGCGACGGACCCCTTTCCATGGCTCAGGGGAAGGGGGACAAGGCTAGCCCAGCCATACACGCGAGGCCTCAGCGAGCGTTTTGTGCCCCAAAACGAAATTCCCTCTGGCTGGACTGCACCGCAAATACCACTACCCAAGAATCAATCAACCGCTGGGTTTCGTTTGCATTTCGCCATGGTTTGGATGCTGGGCTTAGCTATTTTGAAAGGGACCCTCTGGTGGGTTCCATGCGGGTGGACAGGAGGGTACAGCAGCCAATTCCAAACCCATCCCCAAGCAACAGTTATTTTACCATCAGAGTCCCCTGTACGTACTGTAGGCAAATGGGAGACCCTTAGTCACTCCCCAAGTGAGCTCTAGGTAAACAACTCTTCTGACTTGGACTCGCAGCCTTCCAACTGAGTCACAATCACAACCCGGTGTTCGAATGGTCTACCCAGAAACATGCAAAAAAATGCCAAGGCGGATATCCGCACACATTTATGGCAAGGGGATGGTCCCTTACCCTCCAGTTGCCCTTGTTTCGATTGTGCCCTGCATCTGAGTCACAATCAAAACCTGGTACAAAAATGGTGAACCCAGAACCATGTAAAGAATTAGAAAGGCGGATATCCGCAACTATTTCCGGCTGGGATTGCCCCTTACTAACCTTCATCTACCCGGGTTTTTGCTTGTGACCTGCATCTGGAGATTGGCTCGGCCCAAAAAACCCGCCCAACAACTCGCTTTCGAAGGCGCTGCCGCGGCGTCGCGCTCACAGAACTGGGGGTCCGAGAGGATCTTCTCCAGCAGGGAGGGGCCGGAGAGGAACCTGAGGACGGTTACCCCCTGTTGGAGTCTAAGAGTTTGATTCTGAAAATGGCTCCGGGTAGATTTAATTCCGGTGTGTGCGTGTGCTTGGCTCTATTTGTTGTGTTGTTTGCACAAAGGGTGGCTCAAATCAAATCCGTTTTGCGCGTGCTTGTTTCACTTTGTGCCTTTTTTTAAACTTTTTGTGGGTCCAATAGAAATCCGCTGTTGCCCCCAACTTGTCAAATCCAAAGATCCAACCAACGAGGCAGGATCCGCGCTTTATTCCCAATGGCCCATTTGGATCGAATCCAAAGCAACCTCTACCCAGGGTTTCCATGAAGTCCAAAATCGACAAATCGAGATGCCTTGTTCAGCCCGGCCCTTTTTGTTCTCAGTTGTAACCGGTTTTTCACCCAGAGACAAAGGTTATCCAGAAGGTAAGGTGCTTTTTTAGTTGCTTGCCCCTTTTTGAGGGCCATTACTAAAAATGAACCAACTAGGGCAAAGGAAGCCCAAAGGTCAAAAGGCTCACCAAGCTGTAGTGCAGTACCCCATGAAGCTTCTTAAGCCCCATGAAAAATTACTGGATGGCTACTTCCTCAGCATGCGTCTGCTTTGCAGGAAAGCAGATGCTTCCTCAAAGAGCTCACTCACTTGCCGAGTGGACTGGCCAAAACGAGTAGCCACCTCCAGCAGAGAGGTTAGAACAAGGGTACCTATTTTTGCTGTAGTCTATTTGAGTAGGGGAACCCTCCCCCAAAAACGGGTAAAAGGCACCTAGCTGGGGGACCTAGAAACGGTCTCGCCAACAAGTCTTAAAATTTAAAAAGTCCATGATGTCGGGAAGTGAGTCGAGGATTTTCCGGCGCACGTGAAGAGCACAACAGTTCAAAGGCAGCACGGGTGTATGGGGCCAAGAATTGCTGCCTGCAGCACACTTCTGTCTAGGTGTGTTGAAAAGCGGTTTGTGGACCCCGATGGTGTCAAGCAGCCAGGTCCTATGGGAAATCTGTCCATTCCTTGGCGGGTGAGCCAATAACTAACTGTCCTTTGCAGCCCACGAAGCATGAACAGAACCAAAAAACAACAACCTAAGGAACAACTAAAAAAGAACTAATGTCTTTTTGAGCCCAACCAAACAACTAAAAACAAAAATAACATGCCAAGGACACTGAAACAAATGCAACTCATTTAACTTTATGCCTTGGGGCCAGGGTCTTATTGTCGTGGCGTGAATCCCCGACATGAGCCACAATCAAAACCTGGGTCAGTGAAGGCTAGTAAGGGACGATCCCAGCCATAAATAGCAGCGACCGCCTTCTTAGTTCTTGCAGCATGGTTCTGGGTCGACTATTTCTGTACCGGGTTTTGATTGTGACTCACATGTTTCAAGCAAGGCGCCTTAACATGGAACCTCACCATGGGGGTCCTGGAAGACGATTTTCCTAAAAGGGGCCATTTCAAGCACAGAAGCAACGAGTATGACCAAAGACAACTCTGGACGACCTGCATTCATGAAAGGAATCAACCGCCGGTCTTCAATCAAGTCTTCCTCAAGACCTTTCATTTGGCCTGTTTGGGGCCGCAGCGTTCAACAGTTTCAGGCAACTCCAACATGGACAAGTGAATACATGACAAAGTTGCCCCCAACACCAACAGGGGACTATTCAAAAGTATTTCATGGGTATCGTCCACCGAAAACCGCCCTCGCAATAGTGTCAGTGGGTACAGGGTGCAGGCTACTGGCTTGGTGGCGTCTCTTATCTTGGAATTGGTCATACTGTGGATGGGTAAAATCCTGCACCGGTCCAAGTGAAATAGTTAAAACCAAGCTGGAAAACCGGGATAAACCACCTACGTGACGAAACCGCAAATCTTAAACAAGTCAAGGCAAAGCACTGCTTCGAGGGGGAACAAACAACTTGAAACTGGAGTCATAGGGCGTAGCGCATGGATTCTGTCCAACACCTACCAACACCCGCGCGGATTTGTTGTGCAAAACCTGCCAATTCACGCGTGGGTTTTGACCAACACCTATCATTCCGCACATGGATTTGGTCCATCCACAGCACACTGCAATCAAATCCATGGCACTCATAGATCTGGAACACATGAAGATGATCCTCAAAGGCGTCGTGCAAACGACCTCGCAGCTTCGGCAGCTTCCATCAATGTGAGGTTCAGAAGAAGTGTCACAATGCGTCTGGTGTGAAACATAAACCAAATGTATCCCTCCACGGCGTGTTGGGGATGTGCTGTACATCAGCATTTTCGTTCGCATTCACAGCAATGGCAACGCCCGGGATAAACCTTCAGGCCATTCTGCTGAGGTTGCAACGTGGCTTTGATGCGAAGCCATAAGAAGCCACAAATGGCTTGGGTGGTTTGGATCAAAAACCAGGGGAGGTCCAAATCCACACGATCCAAGCCACCAATTGGGGGTTTCTCAAGAAAAAGTTCCCCCAAAAAAGGATTCCTTCTGGTTGCCTGGGAATACCAACCAAAAGGAGTCCCACATAAAAGAGAACAACTCCAATGGCACTCTTCTGTTGCTAGATGTTGGTAGTTAATTGTCAAAATGGCCCAGCCGTCTCCAAGAAAAAGTCGGAAAAGCGAAAGTCCCACCCGGAGGTCTGGCTGCACTCGGAACTCGGGTCTCTGCTTTCCCACCAAAGCAGTAAGAAGCAAGTGTATCGACCGTTGTAGCGACCAAGGCAAGTCAGCATGCTTCACTAACCCGAATCCAGGATTTGTTAAAACCCTCATGGGTGATTGTGCTAGCCCTGACCTGAAATGTTCGGCAGAAAGTGCTGACCTTCTGTTACCTGCGACCAAAAGTGCTCGGAAATTCAGCTTCCCTCTGGGCCCCCGGGTGATTTGGAGCCCGGTTTGGAGGTTCGGGGCTCAACCAGGGGCAAATCCCAAAAATCCTTTCTGAAGCCGGTTCTGCAGCCAGACAATCTCACTGCCCAAATCTCTCGTTGCCAGCTCCAGAAACAAGCACGGAATACTTTGGGGAAGTGCACAAAAACGAAACAAAGGCCGTGGCGATTTTCAAGGAACGCGAAAGCATCTGCAAGCCAATAGCATCCTCTGAAAAGAGAGCCTCCGGCCTTTGGCGTTTGATTCCTTGCAAGTCACACGCTTTGCCAGGTGTGGAACTAAAATGTTGAGTCAACAGCTTAGTTCGCTCAACCCAAAGCGCAAGGAAAACGTGGGTGTGAACCCATCTCGGCGAACTGAGCTCGCGAGATGAACATTTTTGGAAACCATAGGTGAGCTTGCCTTTAGTTGTTCTTTGCTTTAAACCTCCATTTGGTGAGCTTGAGCTAACACTGACCCCAATCCATGCGTTCCGCCTAGGAATCCTTTACCTTGCTTGTGGCTGACCATCCTTACCCAAAGCAAGGCGCCTGGAAAACTGGACATGCACATTAAAACCACTGATTTCCATGGTGGACCCCAGCCATACACCTGTTCAACTGCAATATCTTTGTTTAACTGCCATATCCTTGGATAACTTCTGGCAGCTCCGTAGCTCCCTCTACATATCAGACTTGGAAGTCGCCCAGCTCCTGAACGCTCCGCCCGCCCCGCCATTCCCCCCACACCTTCCGAACCATCCGAAACTTCCGGAGCCCGTCTCCACCTTCAGCCCAGCGGCACACGTGCGGGTGGTCGAAGGCTCGCTGGTCGCCGATGTGCTGCTCCAAGAGTCTGAAGAAAGGCACCTCTCACGCCACCGACGGCCCGATGTGGGGCCCGATGGGTGGGTGAGACATCCCGATGGGTGCGAGGGAAGGAAAAATGGGATGCACCCAATTTAACACCCAACAAAACCACCAGTTGGATGGTCACTAAGGGATGGGATGCACCCAAAAAAACACAACCAAAAACCAGAAAGAAAACCATGGGAAGGGGATTCCCAGAAAGGAAACCACCAGTTGGATGGTCAATAAGGGTCAGTCCATTTCTCATTCCCTGACCAGCAAGTCACCAAGGAAGCTCAATGAGTGTAAAATTGAGTAGGAGACCCCAGAAGGTGCGTGAAACTGAAGGTTCCAACTCTTGACATTCGTAGCCAAATCTGCCCCCAGTGATGTTTAAAGCTAAACAAGAGGGAGTGAAAAATCCATGGACCCAACTAGGGAAGTCATAAGGAGGAAAACCAAAACTCACCAAACAAAAAAAAAAACATGGTCCAAACCCCAAAAGTGACTTTTCAGTCCGGGCACTCAGGGACTGGGGCAAACAGTTTCCCCCCCAATTTTTGCCTGGTCTCTACAAAAACCCAGGGTTCAAATCCAAATCCACCACTGCAAACACTTGGCGTTGTTGAAGCAAGGGGAACCAGCATACAGATAAAAGGTCCGCGTTCGCTTGAAGCAAACGGAACCCTGGGGCATACAGAATATTAAAAAAAGGGGGGGGGGGAAAACCCGGCCGGGCCGTTGCTTTCCCCGGCCGCCTTTCGACGCTCCGCTTCCTTTCGCTCGCGCCTCGGACTTCCGCACGGCCTTGATGACGCGCTGGGCGGAGTTGCTCTTCAGCTTCGCTTTGAAGAAGCGGCTCAGAGTCATCGCCTCCCCCGACCTCCGAGACTCCGAGCGCGCGGAAGCAAGCGAGCGCGGAGAAACCGAGCCCGGGAGTTGGGATCCGGGGCGTGGGCCAACAAGAAAGGGACACCGAGCGGAAAACACCGAGGGGATGTCCGGATCGACTTGGGAAGGGTGGAAAGAGAAAACCCGGGCGTGGGCATAAAAGAAAGGGTCGGTGTGTCTTTTGGTAGTTGATGTTGGGTCACATGATTTATTGAGTCCCCAAGTGACATGGGAATATGGTGGACGACATCCCTTGACTTCAGTAAATGATGGCAAGTATTGACCATGTTTTGATCGCTTCTAAATCACGAACATGGGAATCGGACAAATTCTGGCTTGGCCCTTTCGTTTCCCTTTAAAAACCCGAAAGCGGCTCTCAAAGAAGAAGAAAGGAAAAAAGGGGGGGGGGTTGGCATATCGAGATATTGACGCTTGCGGAATGCGGCTCCGCATTTGTGCGAAAATTTACTTGGGGACCACATCAACATGGGGATTCTCAGCCCATTTTGGAGGTATTTTGCTTCGTGCGAATTCATAGCAAGCCCACTGGTGGTACACCTGGCCTGCTAACAAAATTCGATGAGAATTCGTTGGTAAAAAGTGTCAAAGGGGGGACTCGGGTTCTCCCCTGAAGGCTAACCCAAGAAAGGGTACCGTCAGAACAACAGAAAACAAACACACACACACACACACACGTCCAAAAGGGACCAAGCAAATATCTAGCTGTAAATATCCCACTTTCAATTCTGACGTTTCCTCGAGCCCACAGATTGAGATATATGTATACATTCCGATCCATTTGGTGGACAAAAACTGGAGGACCTCTTGGATGGTGGGAGACCAAAATTGAACCCGCAAACGGTGTTTAGGTGTTCAGTCCTTTCTGGGGGCCTCCTAGAGTACACACCCAAAGTGCATGCAGCAAAGCAACATATTTTTGCTGCCGCCCTGCAACCCCACCCATCCGCCCACCCACCCACGCTCCCACACTCCCACGCTCCCTCTCACACTCCCACGCACCCACTCACCCACCCACCCCACCCCACCCCACCCCACCCCAACCACAACCACAACCACAACCACAACCACAACCACAACCACAACCACAACCACAACAACACACACACACACACAACCACACACACACAAAGGCACACACACACACCGAAACTCTGGTGGTGTTCAACCCACTTGGCAAGTAGCGTAGGTCTACTTATCATCATTCCAGGCACTAACCCCCACTACCCCAGTTATAACCCTACGTGAAACCTGCTAAGCTGGTTCACAAAGCAGCTAAACCTCGACGAGCTGTTTTGGGTTAAGGATTTGTCCAGCTTAATGCCACAGACCGGAGCTCCCTAGGCCCTAGCAGCACGGGTCCAAGATTTCCGTGACCATGCTGAAAGCACCGGACTCCCCGAAATGTTCCCCCGTTACATCACCCAAGAGGAGACTCACTCACAACCAAACGGTGTTTAGAACCAACAGGGGAAATCATGGCACCTCCCTGGGGGTGGGCATGTGGTTGTGTCTTTTGTTTGGGTTCCATCCCTATAATGGGCAGTTTCCTTTGGGGTTGCCTTTCAAACCACGCAAAAAGGGACGCCCTACAAAAAGACACCCATATACTTGAATGTTCGGCCTAAAAGAATCCCCTTCAGGATCTTACTAGGCTATAACCTAGGATACCAACGCAGCTAGGTCCTCCAGTAGAGAGGTTAAAATAAGGTGTTCCTTTTTTCTGTGGAGTCTATTAGTAGGGCACCCTCCCAACCAAAAAAGAAACGGTGAGAGGTCCGGCACCAATTGCTGGGGGACGGCAAGCAAAGGCAGCTGAGCTCTGAGGCAACCGCTGCAAGCCATTCATGTTGCCCACGTGCAGGCAGGTCTGCCAGTCCTTAGAACGTAGCTGTGGGTCGATAAATAGGGTAACCTCAAAATGCAAAGGACTAAAAAATGGAACCAGAAATGGGTATGGGTCAAAAATGGGTAACCTCAAAACGCAACCCTGGCAAATGGAACCAAACACTAAAACCTGCGGTCCCTTAGCGGTTTAATTGACACATACCCACTTTCGTCTCCACATGTGCGGTGCGCGCAACCTCGAGTTAGATGTCTCCTCTGGAAAAAAAAACAACAACAACAATCCATATGTCGAGCGATAGATTCCCTTTAAAACCACCAATGAAAAATACAAACACATGTTCTTAAGCAAATGGAAGAAAATGGGGAATCCTAGCAGAGAAACCTAAAGGAAACCTGTTTGGCTGAAAGAAAGTTCAATGCACACTGATGAGGGACCCTTCCGAATATCAAGGTTATTCTTCGTGTTATGACCTAGGTTACCAACAACTTGCTAACTTGGCAACGAACACTCAAGTACAAACACAAACGCGGTGTGATATTGCAATCTTCGAGAGGCGAAACAGTAAGAGGGGCCTTTGAAAGAGGGAATCCTCAATTCATGAGACACCCACAGTTGTAGGCATGGGTGCTTCTCACAATATCAAGGGTCCTCTAAAATGGTTCCTTCAAATACCAACTACAAGGGGTCCGGGGAAAAAAAAAAAAAAACATGACGTGCCCTTCAAAATAGGTGCAGCTGATTTGATACGTCCAAAAACACTGGGACCATGCCTCATTCACACTTCTTCGGCATCAAAGGTTGGTTCCTTCAAATACCAACTATTTTGGGGGGTCCGAGGAAGAAAAAAACACGTTTTAAACATGCTGGCAAACCAAAGCACATATATTTGCACAGCACGCAAGGCCAGAAAGGTAGACCTTGCAAGCGCACCGGAAATCCGGTCTTTCCCGTGCAGCGTTTGGGTCTGGGTGCTAAATAGGGTCCGGAAACCAATGGAACATGAACCAATAAATGCTTTCCTCTAGGTGTCGCTCTGACGTTTGTGCATTCCCTCGGATTACACCCTTGCAAAATTTCTCAACTGGTCCAAAATAACAATAATTCGTCTAGAAACACATCGCAAACGTGGCAATTTCCGACTGCAACTCCAGGCGGAGATTACGAAAAACTGTTGGGACACTGCAATTGGTTCAACCCTGGCTCCGTTTGAGAGGAAAAAAACTAACCCCTGGCTCCCTTTATAGCGAAACCAAAAGTATAATGCGAAAAATGTTGGTTTGAAGAGGGAGGTGCGCTGTCGGGAGGATGTTACAATTCCCCCCCGGCTGTCATCCCCTTTACTTTCCCACAGAATCGCGCCAACTACTTCCACCCGTGTATTGCAAAAAGCACAGCTAAATGCGCACCGATGCCTCGCTTGAGTTTATTTGTCCCAAACCACAAGTCCAAGCATTTGCTGCATGGACTCCAACTTGGCCCACATGGTGATTTCTTAACTTGGTTGACGTTGGAAGGGGAGCACAAATGTACGTTTTAGCGGTTAAGTGGGGATTTCCCACTAAACCACAATAAGCAAATATGTAAAATGTTTCCCAACAACCATGTTAAACCAACCACAGAAGGGAAATTTGGGTATGCATGTCAAAAGACAACCGCCTCCAAAATGGTTGGACATAAATCCACAGGGTGGCCCGTCAAAGTTCCGACCCATGTAGAAACTGCCGATATCTTATTGGTATTCTATTGTTGCTCTGGGAATGGAGGACCACCCGTATTCTCTGTATTCTCTGGAATATAGGGAACCTTGAAGAACATCAACCAAAGTGTCATTTCCAAGTGAGTTGGCAAAAACAAGTTGGCTGCTTTGCATCCCACGAACATGGTCCAAACCCAAAAAGTGACTAAAGTTCGAAACGGAACTCAGGGAGTGAGAAAAAGGGGGACAAATCAGTCCGACTTTGCCACAGTCTCTACGGCGTACTTCTCCTGGAGGCTCTCCTGTGCGAGCCCCACTGTGGCCTACTTTCGCCCGACCCGCGACCCACACCAACCTGGGTGTGTCTTTGTTGGATACCCTTGTTTTGGGGTTTCAAAAGAACACCCGGCGGAAAACCGTTGCGCCATTTTGGGGGTGTAAAGAAAGATGCCCCAAGATTCACCTCATCAGGCCCGCTTGCAACGGGAAATACAAGGACCCTGATCCAAACCATGTCGATTTGGGGCTAAAGGGGTTTGCCCCCTCATCAACGCTGAGCAAACACCTCGCAACCCACTGCTCTGTGTTTCTCAAAGGGGTCTCTAAAATGGTTTGCTCTTCTGTGTCCCTCAACCAACTAACTTCTTCGCGTAAGCGCAGCTTTCCTCAGTATGTGGCAGTTCCCTCACATGTTGTGACCTGTACATACCGCCCAAAAGGGGGTCGTGGCAGTGCTTCCCGCACGCGGTGCAACCTGTAAAGAAGCGCCCAAAAGGCGGTCCAAACCCAATGTTCAGCACCTTCCCATCCCCCGAACCTCCCAGCCCCGAACCTCCCACTTTCCGATTCTCCGAACCTCCCACCTCCCATTTCCGATTCTCCGACGCAATCGAGCGAGCCTCGGGCAAGGTGAAGGGCAAAACCTTGGAGTCTGTGAAGCGAGCTCTCGAGGAGTTGCTGCGGCGCAGCCTGCTGACAGGATGGAAGGAGCGATTTCCGACCGGAAGACCCGACCGACCTACCCGCTAGAAAATGGGAGTTCTGTCGGAATTCAGGGCATCATCTTGGGGCAATAACACATGTTGAGGGCATTCACAATCCCAATGACCATGGGTCATTCCCAAAATGGCTTCTAGGGGTACCCCACCTCCCCCCCAAAAGAAGAAGCAGAAGAAGCAGAAGCAGAAGCAGAAGAAGAAGAAGAAGAAGAAGTGGGGTTTCCTTTTGGCTTCCCTTCCCCCAACAAAACAGGGCTACCTTCAATACACGAGGAGACACGAAATCTGGGCTCGCCTTAAGGACCCGGACCGTGTCCTGGACAGCGGACTGTCACAGCCCTCTGGCACCTCAGGTCGGTGACCCATCGGTTGTGACCCACAGAGATCAGTCCACCCAGAGGCTCCTGGCTTCGGGTTTTAATGGAAGACCCGACCCCTCTACTAGACACCCTGGAGGTGGTCGGGGGTCTCAAAATCGGGTTGTTTGAAGGCCCAAAATCAATCGGGAGCCTCTGGGCAGTGGAAGTTACCCGCTTTATTTTGTTGGTGCGTTATAATAGCAACCCTAAGTTAGCCAGCTAATTGATTGCCAAGTTAGCCGTTCAGTTGGCTGATGCTAACTTGGCAACGGACATCCAATTAACTTGGCAACCAAGAACCAAGGGAGTTTTAACTTCTTCCCTTTGAGAAACACGTCCCAAATGTGTTGGAGGACATCCAACTCACACCAGTTCGATGACACCCCAATGCTAACGGACTTACCCGCTGGTGCAGGATGTTGGCATGGAAAAATAAACGGTACGATACACACGTCAGTCTAGGGTTTGCTTCCCATTCTTTGTAATCTTCGCTCTTGTCAAACACCAGCTGCTTCCCTGGGTTTTTGATGGTTTCCTGAAAGAAGGATCCCTGGAAAGAAAGGGGAAACAGCAATGAGGCATAACAACAGCCATGGAGAGGAGGAAAACGGAATGCAGTCCCGGGAAGTGTCATTCTAAATCCCAGCTCAATCATAGAACTTGCTCCAGCACCCAACCACACACACACACACACGTACACCAAAACACCCCTCCAATTTTGATCTACTTTAGTATTGCGAGAGGATTTGGGGGGAGGGGGTGTTGGGGGGTCCCCTCAAGGAGGGTGTGTCTCAAGCTCGAAAGGTGGAAAATGAGGCTTTCCCCATCTTGGCTCTTGATCCCATTCTTAGTGTCAAACGAAAAGGGATTTGAGGAGTGTGCGGGGCCAACCACTGAAACTGACAGAAACCAACCACAGGAACTTCCGAACTTCCTCTAACAACAAATAGCCAAACACCAAATTGCAAGGATTTCTCGGATAAACACGTCTGAGCCACTTGCAAGATCGTCCTTTTGGATTTCCTTTGAAGAAGAGCACCTGATTGAGGACAGGGACTCGTGGGGTCAACTGTGGGTGCATGTCCAAGGCACAGCCTCATGGATTTCGGCTTTCCGAAATCGGCCTCCAAAGACCAAAAACACACCACACACATCACAAAAACACACACACACACACACACACAAACAAAACGTGAATCCAATAAATGGAGCCGCTTTACAAGTGAACGTGACAAATCATATACCCCGGGGTTCACACCTGGGCTCCAAAAATATGTCCCCTAACACCACTGCAAAGGACACTCAATTTAACAGGGCCCGGGTGATGTTTAAAACCAAACGGACCACCTCTTTTCCATTTGCTTAAGCCACCCTGAACAAAAAAGCATATTTCCAGTAGTGCTAGATGCCTTTTAAAACCGGCAAGGGAAAAACCAACAAACGGAAGAGCCTGAGTGGAAGAGCCTTAGTCCCCCCACCTCCCAGCCCTTTGGCCCGGACAAAGGGACCACCTCTTTTGGTCCCCGGGCCCCCATTTTGAAAGACCCCCATATCTCCAGTAGTGACACAGTGACAGATGCCAAAAAAAAACAGCAAAGAAAAACGAACACCTCTTCCCACCCCCTCCCTCCTTACCCTCCACCCCCCCTTTCGGCGATCGAGCGGCGGAGCGCATGGTCACCTTGGAGGTCACAGAGCCCGGGCCTCCCCAGGACGCTGTGACCAAGCGCGCCTCGCGCCTCGAACTGCGAGGGGCGAGGCGTCGAAAACGAGGCCCGCGGTGAAAACGAGGCGCGGCGAAGGGGGGGCGGGGGGGGGAGGGGGTGCAATGTGTTGCTACAGTTCCAACACCTGAACTAGGCTAGGTCCTCCAGTAGAGAGGTTAGAAGAAGTTGGTACCCTGTTTTCTGGAGCCCTCCCCAAAAAAAGTTGGTGAGAAAGGGCAGTGGGGGACCTAGTAGGGGATTTTCAAGTAAAGGGCCTTCATGAGCTGGTGTTCCGCCCCTGGAATGATTATTCCCCTGTAAATACAAACAAACCATGACTCGGTTGCTTTCTGATCCCCTGCTAAAAGTTTAACTTTTAGTGGTTTAATACGGAAAACCCATTAGTTGGCAAAAAGTTATTCAGTCCTAACATCCCAAAGAGATGATGTTCACGGTTTCTTAGGCGCTGCGTTTACGGATTTCGTCCATGTATCACAAAAAAACAAAAACGCAAATGACGTATCCTAATCCATCCTGCATTTGTTGCTATATTTCCAACACCTGAACTAGGGCATTCTCAAGCAAAGGGCCTTCATGAGCTGGCGTTCCGCCAAAAATCCAAAAATCCGCTCCAAGGCGCACGGCGCGCTGGAGCTCCAGGTTCTCCGCGCGCTGCTTCTGCAGCTCGGACTCCGCGGCGCTGAGGCGCTGCTGCAGCTCCTGGCGAAGCCAGAAATCCAAGCCGGAGAGGCTACATCTCTCAGTTCGGTGACCCTGAGGCTACCCTTTAACACCTAGCTGTGGTTGAAATGGAATCCACTGTGATACAACAAAAAGGGGCCTAACCCCAAAGACTACCCCCATTTAAACAGGGGGATTCCCCAAAATGTATCACAGTGGTGGGATGAACCCCTTGATCCCAGAACCCTGCTCTAACCTGAGTTGCCCCCCCCTCAAAAAAAGAAGAGGAGGTGGACCCCCGTTTCCAGGGCTTGAGAGTTCGTGAAAAGCCACTTTTTGGGGTGTTGAATTCAGTTGGTCAGTGACCCCGGGAAAAAAAAGGGAACCCTTGTTGGGGAAGATTCCATTTTTAGTGGGGCAGCCACAAAACAAAAGGGAAACAGGATGTTGCTGATCTCCCCAACGTAGGATATTCCCTTCGGCACCCAGTGACCAAGGGTAGTACTTGTCCCATCTAGTGGTGGACATGTCAATTCTGTGTTGGTGGTTTCCAACCACTGGCGGACCCCAGTTTTGACCATGGGCAGCTCTTTTCCCCATTTAGGGTTGAACTACCGTCAGCTTGGCTTGCACGTTTTCTGCAGTGCGTTCAATTTTTGGAGTTCCCAATGCAGCTGGCTTGGGCGGAATTTGTTTGAACCGAGCAAGGGATACTCACCAAAGGGAGCCAACCAGGTTGATGGCCCAAAGGACTGGCCAGAAAAGCTTAAGCTCTTAATCTTGACTCAGCATGGCCAATGGAGAACCCCCCAGCTTGGAGCGATTGGCTTCAAGCTTAGCTCGTGGACCTTCGAGTGGATGGCTCCAAGAAAGTGGTTAAACTGTTAACGAGAGACTGGAGCAAGCAGGAACTCCTGTGAGGACCTGGGTCAATTCAGGAGTGGCTTGCGCATCCCGCGAGCACAACTCGGTGCTTGCTTTTGAGGCTACACTTGAGTTGGTGTTGAGGAAGGCTGAAAGGAGCAGCTGAATACATTTTTAGGGTCCAAATCCCATTTTGTTCGAGCCGTGCGTTCTCAAGTAAGGGGTGGCTTAGTATGGATGCTGGACACAAGCACTTGCACGGACCGTTGCGACACAGTTACCGTTTAGGAAGGAATGCTTCCCTCGAGGGTATCAAAGTGAGGTAGCGCATCTGTACGCTACGTGTTGAGATTGGGGCCGAAATCTGGGTCGAGTGCTCCGCAGTACAGGAACCCCTCTAAACAACTTATGGGGTGTTGAACAAATCCAGGGAACCCATTAGTTGATCATTCAAGACCTGTAAACGGCACCCTTGCAAAGGAGAATGTCCACCAATCAGCAGCTGAAGGATCCAGGAGTAAAAGTTTCACCTTTTGACACCTTTACTGAAAGTGGCAGAAAGGGAAAACCAAAAGGTTAAAACCTTTGAACAACTTTCAGGCAGATACGTGGATTTCAGTCGCAATTCAACTTGTCCTGCATTTACCGCAAGACCCAAGCCCAAGAAGACATGCGGGCATCGCACGCTTCATCGCCGTGTCACTGGCAGCTTCCAACAAGGTAGTCCAGCATCTATTGCTCAAAAAACCGGTATCGCCCAAAAAAAACATGAGGCATCAGCGTAAAAGCTGTGCTGACAGAAACGAAACACACTTGCAACCTAAATGACCAGTGACCCTTGGACCCTTGGGGAACTTCCATTGTAGGGGTCCTTTCATTTCTGGTCCCAAACACTAGGTCCTCCAGTAGAGAGGTTAGAATAAGGGTGTCCACTTTTTTCTGTCGAATATTTTAGAAAAACCCTCCCAACAAGTGGATGAGAAAGCTTGCACCTAGCTGGGTGACCTAGAACTCTTCCATGGCGCGCACCGTTTTCTTTTTTGCCGCGGGCGCCTGCTTCGCATGCTCTTGAGACACCACCAAGTTCAGCAGCTGTTGGAACTCCGGCGTCGAGTTCTGCGCACCTCGCACGCTTCGTCGCGTGCGAATTCGGAACTCCGGCGTGGGGTTCCCCCGCGGAACGCGAGTCGTTCCCCGGCGCGAGGTGCGGGGAGCGATCCAATCTTCCCTGAAAAAGGCTCCCAGGTTTGACCGTGGCTAACTTTTTTAAATGTGGCGGAGTCAAATTAGTTTTAGTAATATCCCTCATGGTCACCCCATTGGCCTTTAGCCTGCAGCTGCGCGTTCACACCTTTGAGCCAGTGAGCCGTTCCGGCGGACGGGTGGTGTCAAAGCCATCCTTGAACGGAAACCTCCGATCTGATGCAAGGCTTTGAGCCGTCCGATGCATGTTGCACCCATGCTCCACATCCTGACCATTGGCGACATCCGCGATTCCGGTTCCCCACAGTTGGTTGCGGCGTTGCGGCAAAGCATTGCGTGTCCAGACGCTGGTGCTCGAAGACATATCCGAGTTCAACAACGTTTTCTTCCATGATTTGTAGGTTGCCAATAATTCATATTTGAATGCTTAATTCTCGATCTTAAATGATGTTTGATTTTAAGAAATATCTTAATTCTCGGTAAGATCGAGAAAGCATCATATGAATGTTGAATTGCTTTCTCGATCTTAATGATGGTTGGAAGGCTTGCTACAGGTTGCCGGTCTCAGGTTTCCCTTGGCCGTCTGTGCAACGAAACATGATGCGGTTTTAGAATTGGTCACCAAAAGGCAAATTGTTGATTACCTACCACTGGATCCACTGGGTAAAAATATAAACGGGTTGAGATCCAACTTTAGGGGACACACGCCTTGGCCAACTGAAGCCCAAAAGTTGAGTCAAGCCAACTCGTGTCCAGAAAATACGGTTTCTGAACAATAGGGATCCCCCCTGAAATGGTGGTTGGTTTCTTTTTGGCTTCCACTTGAAATGAATTAACTGCACAAATGCTATGATTCTATCTTAATATACCTTTCTATTTGTCCTAACCTCAGTTGAGGGGGATTCAGCCCAAAAGGCAGTAATATCACCCCGAGCATCATCCAAATTAAGGGGTCCCTGACAAAAAAAAAAGTACTTCCCGTATTCCCGTATTCCCCCTGAGTTCATCAAGTGCGTAAATGACACTAGGAGCTGGTGAACGGGTCTGTAGGGATCCCTTTTGTTTTCTTTAACATTCGTTACATCCTTTCAAACCCCAAAAACGCACATGTTTAATATTTCCCGGGAAGGGGGAGGTTGGGGGGGCGGGGGGGGGGGGGGGTTGGGAGGGGGTTGGGGGGGGGGGGGGTTGGGGGGTTGGGGGGTTGGGGGGGTTGGGGGTTTTGGGTAGCCTTGCGAGGACACAATGCCATATTTGTTTCTACACTTGCCAATGGGGACCCACCTCAAAGTCGTTTGCGGACATGAATCCCCAGCGAAGTCTGATGTCCATCAAACATTGCGGGATCCATTTAAATTCACACGATTCATACCCCTTTGGGTGCATCTTCTTTTGAGTGTACCCTTTTCTGGGTTTTGTTTGAAGGGACACACTATCTGGGTGTGTCCTTTGTTAGTTGGAAGCCCCAAAATGACGGTGGTTTCATGCTTCTAGGGGTTGACTCCCCATTCTTTTCAATCATCGTCTTGGGTCATTCGAATGGACATGAAAGTTACCCCTAAGATGCGGGCGTCCCTTTTCAAACCCACAAAGCCGGGCGCACCGCCCAAAACCTCACGAAGCGAGCCCGTCTTTCGCTCCAAGGAGCCGAGACCTCTGATGTGCGCCAGCACCGGAGACTCCGTGGTCGGCCTGGCACGGGGGTGGGGGGGTTTTGGGGGGGGGGGGGTTCTGCGGGAACGGGGTAGGGCACGGGCTCTAGGTCCTCCAGATTTGAGAGGTGTGAATAAGTTGGTACCTTTTTTTTTCTTCTGCAGTCTATTTTAGTAGGGGAACCCTCCCCTAACAAAGGGGTGAGAAAGGGCACTACTGGGGGACCTAGGGTTGAAAGCCGGGTGGGTTAAGCCGGGTGCAGGTAAGAGATGCTTCTCGTCAGCCGGGGAAATAGAACCCACAAACGCCATGGGTAGAAGTCTTTGAGACATATGAACCAGGCGTACGAACCACCTTACGCAACCTGCCCCTTGGAGAAGTGAACTTCGAGAACCAGGAAACATCCAATGCGTGAATTGTGCTCCGTTTGCTTTCCTCAGCCCCTGGAACATTGAACATGTCCAGCAATACAGAGAAAATCACGCATGTTCTGAAAAATGGAAGCCGTGAATCACTGAACATGGTATGGTTTCTCCATGCGCTTTGTTCAAAGCTTCAACCTGATGGCGGCCCAAATGAATCTGCAAACCAAATGTCTGGTGTCACAGGGGTGCACATTTTTCGACCTACACCCCTTTGGGGCTATTTGAAAGAAACACCAACAGGAAACCATCCATTGTTCGGGTTCCCCTGTTTGACACATCCATACATCCCGCCGAAGCACAAAGCACTCGAAAAGTGCACCCCTCCCCCCCAATTCGTAAACATGAAATTGCAGTTGGTCCTTCCGGAAAGAGAAATAACCTGACTCCCGTCTGTTAAGTGCACACCTCCCTCCCTAAAAAATGGTCTTCCCAAAAAATGGTCTTCGCAAAACGCTTGAAGTCCAGGAACTCAGGAAGTAAGGAAACAGGTACCGCCTCGATCCCTTTCTAAGTTGGGTTTCCATTTCAATCAACCCCCAAACGTGGTTGAAAAAATGATCCGCCTGCCTGTGACACCAACATGTGGCTCAAAAAACCGGTACCCAAAATGGGTTGCCCGATCGGCAAGTGGAAACCTGGACTTCAAAACCTGCCGTTTGCCCCTATTTCATTTTGAGCAGCTACATGGTACGAACTCCGGACTTCTTCTTTCGCCGCTGGCTCGCTAGATCCCCGGCCTAGCCGCTTTCGGGTCTCGCCATACCATAGGCGCCGCAAAGGGATAGCCTGGCCACGCGAGGGCGCCATGTTTTGTTGAGGCCACCTTAGGGCATCCAAGGACTTGCAGGTTCGAGAGATGCAGGGAATGAGAAATGGAATGACCAAAAGAGAAAACCATCCAACTGGTGGTTTCCTTTGAGGGGGTCCCCTTCCGGTTCATTTCCACCACCCGGAACGGTCATTCCCTAGCTATCGCACCGGCTAGACAACACCAAGACCTGATCCAACACTTTCCCTACCTCTAACACAACCACACTGGAAAACAAAACACTAGGTCGTCTTCACTCTGCTAAATTTCTGCCGCAACTCCAGGCAACTGCTCGCGGAGGACGAGCAGGGCGTGATCAAAGTGAGCGTCTCCCTCTTCAGTTCTCCCTAACGGAAGCAGCATGTTGGCAGGCCAGATTTTCTTGCACCTCTCCACGACTTCATCCCGCAGCCGCCGGCTTGGGGTGAGGACAGCGTGCACGGTGCAAGCATCCAGGCGCTGAGTGTCTGGCCGGCTGAACACGCTGTCGCGCAACAAGCCGGGGTCCAGGACAAAGTGGAGGCCGCGAAGCATGGCGTGGGGCTCCCGCTCCAGCTTGGCTAGAGCTCCGAGAAAAAAATAAATGGGGGAAAAAAAGAAAAAAATCACGAAGCCAAAACATGGCAATGCCGGAAAGAAACACGAGAGCGGAAAACCCGAAGGGATAACCTCACAATTTGTCGAGTCCCCTGTCTTGGCAACAATCCGGCAGCATGTGTTGCAAGTGCCTGGGATCTGGCACGAGCGAAACGCATGCGCGAGAGATGGTTCATCTCTGATATGACATAACTGTGATCTTGAACAAATCCAGCCATTTTTCAGGAGGCCCCCCCGTAGCCTTAGCCACATCCAACGATTTCGAGGAGTCCGAACGGTTTTAAATGGTTCCTCGAGTCCCAGGTGGTTCATGTCGCAAAAAAAAGCTTCCTCCCGCCAAAACTGGCGGCACCCCCTTTTCACTGGGCTGCCCTCAGATCCCCGGCTAACAGTTTAACTTGGAGTGGGTTCAATGGAAACTACCACTAAACCCGAAAAGCCTAAAAGCTAAGAGAATGGCTGGGAACCAAGTTCAGACAGCAATGAAGCCCCAGGACACCGTTTGTTCTTGTTTTTCTCAGGCTGTCTTTTCAGCCTCCCAAAGACAAGCACTACAAGCAAAACAGCAAGAGACGCAAAGAATCACACAGATGGGGGCACCTCAAAACACCATGGGAAAGATAGGTGAACTCCAAGTGGATGTGCCGCATCTCAACGTTGCCTCTCCCAAGCCCAACTGTAGCAACTTTGAGGGAGCGTCCACGACATGCCCAAGTGACCACACACATACTGCTGGTTGCTCCGCAAAAGGCGATGTTGTGAAGGGCACATGGGGAACATGGGGGGCTTTTTCTGACTCTTGGATGGGCGTTCAACATGTCAAGAGGAAGGAGATGGAACAGTCGGAAGGCCTCCAGGATACTCACCTGATGATATGTTGACTGAATCCCACCTGGTGCCTGTCTGTCCACAGCATGGGTGCTGCTTTTAACATATACATTGATCTTAGATATAGTTATTTGATATTACATTTATAGAAAGACGTGCTGTGATTGAAAGCGAGAGATACAAACCATGAATCCATTTGCTTTAGAACAAAAACAACAACGCCTAGCGAACACAAAAACAGCAACTCTAGGGAAACAAACACAAACTTAGCTTGGCCCTATCCATACATCATGTTGAACCCAGCTGGCCCTTAGCGAAGCAGCACACGGCAAGCTCTTCACGCCGCGCCTGCTGCTGGCATAGCGTAGACAGCACCTGGCAGAGGCGCAAAAAAGCCCTGGCTGAGTAATAGGTGCCCCTTCAAGTGGGCACCCGCCATCAGTAATGTTGACCCCATATTCATCAACTGACCAGCTTATTCATAGCAAGGTCCCCTCCAAAAGTGATGATTCTCCACAAAACCTAAAAACCACCCCCTGCTAGTCAACTGGGGTTGATTAATATGAGATCAATATTAGGGTTAGCCGGGGGTTCCATCAATTCACACCTGACGGACAATATGGAGTCGTGTTTTGGCAACCACTCATTTTAAGGGATTCTTTGGAAATAGGGGACAACAAAAACGGGAAGGCTTCGATGGTTTGCTTGTCCAGTACGACTTCCAAAAGCAGCTCTCCCTACTGACCTGGCAATAAAGTGGAACAAACACGACTGTAGCAGTTGCCCGGCCATTCGAACGATAGCACCAAAGCATGCCGAACATGATTGACTTCACTGGTGACTTGCACGCTTGGCTTATCTTATCCCGCGACAAGTATGAAACAGTTACCAATTGACATGGAACCTGACCTTTCGGGGGGTCTTGGAAGAGTTCCTTTTCAAGGCACCGTGTCCCGAACGTCAGGTTCCATGTTCCTCGGAGGGAGGGTACTATTTGCTGAAGTGGGAAGAGGAAACCACATCTTTGGAAGCAACAAGGAAACAAACAGGCCACTGAAGACGGGGGACGGGTCAAAAGGCCAGAGGTGCTATGAAACACACGTTTTCAAGGGCCCAACCGGATTTGAGGTACTCCCATATGCTTACATGAATGATGGGCAATTGGGATCACTATCAGAAACCCGAAGCTATTGCGTTTCGTTGTCTGATCAAGATGCTGGTGGAGTTGGATTAAGCACCTTGAGGCAAACCCAATCCTTGATCTCATCCATTTGTTTAAGTCCCCCGAGACAAAATCTAGGAGTGATAGCTTCTCTTTAACATCAACACATATTCTGAAGCAAACAAAACTAGGTCCTCCAGTCCAGAGGTTCGAATACTTAATAAGGGTACCCTTTTTCTGTAGTCTATTTTAGTAGGCGAACCCTCCCAACCAAAAAAGGGGTTAAAATCGGCACCTAGCTGGGGGGCCTAGAAAAGTCATCGGACAGGACAAGGCAACTCGGGCGCTGGGTCTTTCGGAGCCGCGGAGCCGCGCCGCACGCGACGCTGCGCGCAAACGCCCAAGCCGCAAGCCCCCGCATGCGATGGGCAAGCCGCACACGCAAAGGTTGGGGTGAAGCAGTGAGGCAGGCGTGCCCAAAAAAGAAAAGGTGGTCTCCCTCGTTCAAGAAGGTGGTCCCAGTCATGCTCCCGTTCTTGAAGGCAGTCCCAGTTGTGCCCTGGTTCTTGATGCTAGCCAGTTCAAAATCATTCTTGGGAGGCTGGATGGCCTCGGCTGCATACAGTTTCTTCTCCAAAGCGCAAGCGGGCACGCAGCTCCTTGACCATCCTTGACCATCCTTGACCTGTGGTTTTTCTCCTTTTGAACTTAAATGTCCACATAGCTTCTTTTTTCAAGCGGAACTACGGAATCCCCTTACCAAGGGTCTTCATAGGTCAGCTGTTTTGAACCGGATCACAGGCATGTTGGGCTATCTGGCAGTGTAGCATCCAAACAAGACTGGGTGAATTATAATATTGCAGCAACCTGAAATAAGGTGGTACATAAAACACCATTTGGGGTGAGCTCGTGTGGGGTCGTTATAATTCACCAAGTGACATCGCAGGCATCTCGGATTCTCACGCCCCGACTCCGGCTTTCTCTCCTGCCGAGCCGGCATCGACCCAATGGCCTGGTGGCGGGCTAATTTGCCGCACGCCTGAGCGGCGAGGAGCAGCCCGACAGCTCACAAAAAAACGGGGGGGAGTCCGCAAAAAAACACAAAAACAGAAGCCAAACCAAGAGGAGTATTCAGCAAATTCTTAAGCAAATGGAAGTTGAGGATGGTTTGCTGGGGGGGACCAGGCAAGAAAAGGACCAACTCCTTTAATCCAAGGCAACAAAACCCGAGCAACTTGGTCCACAATTTACGTTCAACGGGATATTTTTTGAGACCCAAACCTCAAAGCAGGGCTTTCCAAATCAAAAATTGCGCTTGGCGCTTCGCTCCGGATAGGTGAAGTCATTCTTATGCCTTGGCACCAGAAACGAAATCGATCCAATCGGGTTGGGTGATTCTTCACCGGGGGGAAACAAGAACCAATCAAAAACCGAAAGGAGACTTCCAAAGGTTGAAGAACAAACGGACATAGGTCTAAATATTTACTTGGGGACCATTGGGGAGACATCATTTGGGGATTTACCAGCCACTTTTGAGGGGCTTCCAATAGCCACGTAACTGTCAAACGTTTTGCTTTGGACTCACTCTCTCTGGTGGAGCTGTGAGGGACTCCCAAGAGGGTTACTCACTGGAAGGGCCGATCCATTTTCGCCAGGTTCTCAACGGCAAAGAAGCTGTGGCTACAGTCAAAATAAGCCTGAGAGGGCGTGGCGCAAGGTTGAGCAGTCAAAGATGCTGGACGGACGTGTCAACAACCCAACTGAAGTGTTTCGTCCCTGAGAATTCCAGCCAAACAACTCTTCATGTTGAAGTTTCAAAAGATCGACAAACAACTCGCCCAAAGCTACAACTTGATTCTTTCATAGTGCGTCTGGCCTCAAAAAAACAGGAGACCTCAGAAAATCCTATGTTCGGACCCTGTTGCATCCGTCCAAGACTTACGCCCGGACATCCGACAGTTTTCTGGGAGACCGCCGAAAGACAGGGAGATAGCCAGCGCCCGACCCCGCCTGGCGGGCTGATCTGGCGTATGCCTGGCAAATGCGCAAAACAACAAAACACCATCACAACGAACAAGGAACCCACCCATCTGCTTCGTTGAATTGGTGGCTTGGGAGTTCCGTATTTTTCCGATTGCTTAGAGGGAAAGCAAACAGGAACCACCCAATTCCCAGCTTTCCGCCGATTGGTGGATTGGTGTTGAAGGATAGTTTCCCACAAGAACCAGGGGTTCAAATCCCCAAACCACGAATCCAAACCAGCAAGTCGTGGGAGGCTGGTGCAACCAGCAAGACAGCGATCGACTTTGTTGCTCATGCAACCTGGTCGCATGCGGACAAAACGCACCCGCACGTTGGGAGATCCTGGAATAGAAACTTGCCGCCTTTGGGCAAGGTTCAAGGTCCTGGAATATATATATATATATACTAGGTCCTCCAGATTTGAGAGGTTTGAATAAGGGTACTGCCCTTTTTTCTGTCGTCTATTTTAGTAGGGGAACCGAATCTCCCCCCACACCAATTGCGCGACCTAGACAATCCAGCCCTTCATCGAGGCGTTTTGCCCGGTGCAAATCGCTTGCCGGCACTTTGACCTGCATAACGTGTTTTCCTGATTGAGCAAAATCAAAGGCCAAAGACAAAGAATAAGAAGGCAAGACAGGCTTGTCCATGCAAACATCTGTGTGGAGAAAACTGATGGTTTCCTAGGGTTGGTTTCCCTTTCGGTTTTGGCGTGCTTCTTTGGGCTAATCAAACATTTCTTAGCCTTCTTTTGGCTAACCCATGTCTACGTAAAGCGGAACTCCACCGCAACATAGCAAGTGCTTGATCGACCCACGCTTTCTTTTGCCAAAAAGGCGGTGTTTGTTGGGTCTGCTTCAAGCACAACCCAGCCCCTTTGCCTTTTGCCTCTTGATTAAATAGTGAAACGGGGCTTCGCCGAAGCCAGCTGATAGCAATTGTCACAGCCAGGAAAAACGTTGACAACATTGTGCTTTTTGGTGGTCATGATCGAAAAGGAAGTTCCAGCGGGAATGCGTGGGAACATATGTATACATATATACATGTATATACATCGATAATAGCTATGTGTACATGTGTGTATATATATGTATATATTATGCAAGATATAGCTATATGTATATGTCAGAGTACAACACCCCCAACAATGGTGGTGTTTTGTTGTGTTTGACATCCTGTGAAACCACCGCTGCAAAGGGCAAAAGGGTACCCTCAAAAAATACACACCCATTTAAGCCGATTTATCCCTCGGATCAACGGTTAGTCTTCTTTTTCGGAGTAGTTTTGCAAAAGGAATCAGGGCTCGGCATGGGTCGACGGGGCTCAACATCATCTTCTCACCAGGATTGGTGGTTTGGTGGTTAAGGAGGGGTTTCCAAGTTACCCGCAAGAACCAGGGGTTTAAATCCAAATCCAAACCCCAGTCCAAACCACCAATGACTGCCATCTGCAAAAAATCGCCTGCACAAAAAAACAACTAGAACACATGTCCAGCGTAGTGAATTCGATTTCCTTTGAAACAAAGGGAAAACAAGAATATCTTCTGAATCTAAAAATGGCAAGATTAGAAATCGGGCATCGAAACCACCAATGGCTTCCATCTGCAAGAAAAAACGCCTGAACATGCTCTGAATCCAAAAATGGCCAGATGGCTGTGGGTCAAACAAAGGTCCCATTTGGTGAACCCTGGTAAATGGAAACATGAACTAACACCTGCGGCCCCCTAGTGGTTTAATTTTGACCCACACCCAGATTAAGGGACACTTGATCCCAGAAACCGCGAATCCAACAACTCGAGAAACGGCCTGCGGCCGGCGCTGCCCACAAGGGAGCGGCGCTGGGCGGCAAGGAGCCTACGCGAAAAAGAAAAAACAACAAGGTCGGGGGCCGGAGATGGTTGTTGGTCTTTGTTTTTGTAGGGTCGAGATTTATTTACTTGTTCTTGTAAGGTGGAGATTTAATTTGTGTTGTTGTTTCTTTTGGCCTTTCTTTTTTTGTTTCTTGACTTTATTCCATTTTGCGACATCTCCCCCAAAATGGCGGAGTTCAGTTTAGGAGTCCTTTAAACCCACCAAAAAGGAACAACACACGCACACATAGGCGATTTGCCCGAAACGACGGAACTCCTTGAGGAACCACTTTAAACCCACCAAACAAGTGGTACAACAAACAAAAAGAAAAAATAAGGAATAACAAAACACATGGAGTCTGCATGACCCTTCAACGGGGCCACTTTCTTTTGGGTGCCCCGATTTGTGAAGGCTCAGACTCTGCTTCATGTTTCGTGTCCGGTCGAACTTGTGTTAAAGACAAAGAGCGCATACAATCCCTTTGGTCTCCCACCACAATCTGCTTCACATTTAGTCTACCTTAGTTCACCCTGAAATATAACATAGTTTTGGAGGAGACCCTAAACATGCTGAGGGTGTGCTCCGGTTGGTTGGTTACATTGGTTGAGGGGCCATGCCCTCACCTGGACGGCGAGCATGAGTTCCATGGTCCGTGCTACTTTGAGGTTAAAAGCTTCAGGCTGGAGCGGCGGGGTGCATTTTGTTTGGCTGCAGGTTGATATGGTGGCTGAGGGCGGGTTTCTGTATCAGGCATGGGGCTGGTAGGTGTGTCGTTTATTGGGGGACCTCCATGGACACACACGCCCGGTGGCTTTTCGTGCGGTATTCCTGCAACATATGCCCCCCAAGTTTTACTGGAGGGAACCAAAAAAGGACTCTTGGGTACTGGGTTACAAGGCCAAAGAACATCCACCAGTCCGAGATGGAAGTGAATCTATTTTTTTGGAAAACCGCCCGATTGCTGAACCGAAGGAAGCCACGGTGAGTGGCTCAAAAAAAGAAGAAGTCAATCCGGCCCTTGAGGCGTCGATTCAAAAAAAACACTGGACATTCACGGAGAATCCTCAAGAAGCACCCATTGCCGATGCTTCCGCTGGTCCGAAGATTAAACTAAGTAGAGAGGTTAGAATAAGTTGGTACCCTATTTTTTTCCTGCAGTCTATTTTAGCGGACCCTCCCCCGAAAAAAAAGGGGTAAAAGGGCACTGGGGGACCTAGTGAAAGGAGGCTGATCCCGGGGCCCTAGGGTGACCATCTTGGGGTAGCTAAGAAATTACAACATGCGCCACTCGGGTCAGTCCTTTTGCCTATTCTTGAAGAGGACAATTGCATGCGGTCCCCCTATTCTGACACATACCCTCTGGTTATGAATTCGAATACACCCCCTACTCCAGATACCCACTTTTTCTAGGGTATTATTGAAAAACCTGGGCTTCAAAAATAAATACCTCCTTTTTTGGTAGAGGGTCGACATGATACCCTAAAAAAAGCGGGTCTTGTGTGTAAGGGGTGTTTCAACAGTGGTGGACATGAATCTCCGAAGGGGTTTGCCTTTCTTTGGGGGAACCCCCAACATGGCGTCGGTGTTCCTTTGGATCCCCTCTAAACTTGGTTGACGTTGGAAGGGGAGCAAACAAATCAATTTTAGCAGTTAAGTAGGGATTTCCCACTAAACCACAATAAGCAAAAATGTAAAATGTTTCCCAACAACAACCATGTCTACTGCCGCAAACCAAGAAGTACCAGCTCACAACGAGGAATCACACCATGTCCACCAAAAAGGCCCTCAACCCTGAGACCATGTCCCGAACCACTTCTGGTTTCAGGCTCCCTTATCAAATCCGGATACCAACTCCGAGTCCGGCTCCCTTCCAAACACCATAGACATTGGCCACACAATCCGTGTAGGTACAATAGACCAACTTGGGCCCATTTGGAGGTCCTCCAGTAGAGAGGTTAGAATAAGGGTACCCTTTTTCATTTCAACCCTCCCCCCTAAAAAAGGGTAAAAGGGCACGACTGGGGCACCTAGTCAACCATTTGCTTAAGTCCCTTGGGAAAAATACTTCCACAAGTGATCGATGCCCTTTAAAACCAACAGGTTAAAAAATAACATTAAACATGAAAAGACACATATTCAGAAAATGGAAGTAGTTGGGCTTCACGGCCAAGCCCTTCGCCGCTTCCGCGGCCGCGTCCGCGTTCTGGTGCGCTCGCCTCGTGGCACTTCCCGGGTCATACCGGGCGGCGACGTGGTGGAAGCCCCAGGGCGGACGCCGACGCCTCTCGGCGTCTCGACGCGTGAGCGAGCGAGCGAGCTCGGCTTTCGGGAGCTGAGAGAAGTCCACCTGCCTTCGGAACTCGAAGCCATGTAGATATCCAATCAATTTGGCGCATGGCCCTAGAAGACCAGCCATGTATGGGCACCCAAAGCCATGTAAAGAATAATGGAAAGAACATCGAAACTCGCTTGCTTTCTGCGCCTCCTAAAAGTTGTTTAACTGTAGTGGTTTAATACGGAAAGCCCATTGGTTGGCAAAAGGCTAAAGTCCTAACATCCGTTGGCAGAATGCACCAAAGGGAAGACATTTCGAGGGGTATCTTCCAGTCCATTCTTTCCAGGATCCTTCTTTCCAGAAAACCACCAAAAACCCTGGGGATTGACCCCTAGAACATTAGTATGTCCCAAATTGGGAGACCAACAAGTCAAGTGGTGGGTGGGTTTCCTTTTGGACATTCTGTGCCAAAGTCGGGGAAGCAACAAGTGCCGAATGTCCTTTTTGTTCGCCATTAAAAAAAAAAAAAAAACTAGCCCCGAACTGGGTACTGTCAAATAAACCACTCCCAGATTTCTCACAATTGCATTGACACCCTACGGGTCCAGAGGTTCCAACTACTCAATCATAACGCCTTTCGGGCCGCCATGGTTTCTGAGTACAACTTCTAGGTCCTCCAGATTTGAGAGGTATAGAATAAGTTGGTACCAACATGTTTCCGTCGTCTATTTTCGGGGAACCCTCCCAACCAAAAAAGGGGTGAGAAAGGGCACCAAACACCCTCCCAACCAAAAAAGCGGGCGAGAAAGCTTGCACCTAGCTGGGGGAACCTCTTGGAAGCCCCAGGATCTGCTTTCCAGGCTCGCCCGTGTGAGCGGACGGACGTTGGCGCTTGCCATGAAGCGGTCGGCGCTGGCTTGCCGTCGGGAAAACTCTCGAGTTGGACCATCTACTTTTGGCCTCCTTTGCCTCCTTGGATTACAGGGCCACCAATTTGCTCAAATATTATTGAAACACGAACTTCTGAAAGGTCGAGTCAGGGCGTCACATGCCGACGGCTTTCTATTGGTTTCAATGGGACTTGCCGTCCAACGCCAGGCGGTTTCACTAGGGGTAACCTCTTACAAAGTGGGGTGGTACTCAGGGCAGAAGTAATTGGAGCCCGGATTGAACCCATCCTAGGGGTGTCGGGCCCCCAAAAGCAATCTGGATTGCCACCCCGCGATCAAAACCAACCAGAGGGTATTAATTTTGGTTGACAGTTGCTTTCAGCCGCTAGTGATCACGTTGAGCACGAGGGTACAGATCTCTCAAGACGGATTCAAGTTTGGTACTTGGGTGTTCGATTCGCCAAGTTAGTAAGTTGGTGGTAACCTAGGTTGTGACCCACTCCTAAGTCCCCTAAAGTGGATTTAACCCTGTCGTGAGTGCTTGGCCGAACATCCAAGCAGGGACCCTTTGGTCGATTTGGGGTGGATTCATGCCCACCAACCACTTTTGAGATGGTTCCCCAGTAAAAACTCATAGCCAAATCGCACCGTGTGCTCGAAGACAGCTGGTCTTCTGACATCTTTTGTTGTAGAAACGGAGCAGCGAACTGCGCCAGGGTTTCAGGCGAATGAGAAACCAAATCCAGTGCCACCTATGCAATCCCGTTCGCGTATTGCGAACTCTACAATAGCGGAAGCTTCCATGTCCATTCTTTCCAGGGATCCTTCTTTTCAGGAAACCATCAAACACCCAAATTATGGTTGAGAAGAATGGTTGGAATCAAACCCTAAAACAAGAATTCTAACGTGAAACGATAAATCCTCAGGTAAAGGACCTGCGTGCATCGTCGAGCTTGCAAGACACATGTGGCTTGTTGGTTTGCCCTGCTGGAATGGGCTTTCTGGCAAATGGACCAGGATATTGCCTTTGTTGGAAACTGGGCCGCTAGAAGACATGGGGCCCACTTTGCACCAAACCAAACAAACCGGGCGCAAGCACTGCGTAAGCTGTTGTCTGCACCTGTAATTCGGCTGGCCGAAGTTGTCTTTAGACGAACACGGGCAAACCATAGAAAACCGCCGACTTTGAGGGCTTCACATACTAGGTCCTCCAGTAGAGGTACCCTTTTTTCCGTAGTCTATTTTGGTAGGGGAACCATCCCCACAAAAAGGGTAAAAGGGCACTACTGGGGGACCTAGAAGGGCACTCTTGTTGTTGGTTCCCCGACCGAAAAAAACGGGCGCTACAGGGCCCGGGGGGTTTGGGCGAAGTCAGGCGCTTGCGGCGACTCGCTGGCCTAGCGGCAGCGTCATTGACCCGCCCAGACCTCGCGGCAACGAAGCGAAGCCCCGTAAGGATCTTTGTTTGAAATGGGTGTGTCTCAACATAGGGGTCCCCCAAAAAGAAAATTGTTCCTTTTGTCTTGCCTCTGAACCAAGGGTAAAAATCATGCCAAAGAAGACACAGCCAAATAACAAATAATTCCCCAAAACATCACTTTCTGTGCTCTCCTACAATATCAAATAAAATCCATTTCCCTTCCCCCCCCGGGGAATCGTTGGCCAACTTGCTGCCTGCAGAATTTCCCGCTGAAACGATCGGGCGAGTGAACCGTTTTCTGGTTCTGTCCAAAGGAGCCAGGGCAAGCACATCAAGGAAAGCAACCAGGTCCTCCAGTGAGGTTGGAATAAGGCTACCCAATTTTTGTTCTGTCGTCTATTTTAGGGGAACCCTCCCAACCAAAACGGTGAGAAGGGCACAACTGGGCGACCTAGATCGCATTGGAAGAGACTGCATTCCCGATCCCTGACACGCGAGTTGATCGGGCTTGCAAGTGTAGCGTGACACCTTGGCATTGCAAGTTGTGCTTTCATTGCTTCCCGCCAGTGGACAAGGAACATCTCATGGCCCCTGAACTGATGGGGAGCAAACGTGTTCCCAAGTTTTGGCAACTTTAGCTAGTGGCTAGATGTGGCTAGGTTCTCCAGTAGAGAGGTTAGAACGAGGGTACCATATTTTTCTGTAGTCTATTTTAGGGGAACCCTCCCAACCAAAAGGGGGTGAGAAAGGGCACCTAGCTGGGGGACCTAGACTTGGAGAACGCTCCTTTTCCCCCCCAAAAGTGAGAGATTTGGGTACGGGTCAAACTCAAACCACCAGGAATTGGACCGCAGGTTGAATCGTCTTTGTTTCCATTTGCTAGGCTTCCATTTGGGGTGCCCGTTCTTGACCCACGACCCATTTCTTCGGGCCGAAACGAGCCAAAACGCGCCTGCCACAGGTGCTCGGCTGCTGCCGACCATGATGGGCACGGACAAGGAACCGTTCATGACAGGGCCTGGAAGCGGGGGGCTCTTCGAGGCGTTTCTTTGCTTTTTGCTTTTCTGTAAATCTCCCAAGACACGACCCGCATAATAAGCACCTTCCAAATACTAACTACACACAATGGACCTTGCCTGGAACAGGGGGTGGTCAAGACGTTTTTAAGTACTCCCCAAGCCACGACCCGAAAAATGACTAGGTCCTCCAGTAGAGAGGGTAGAATAAGGGTACCATCTTTTCTGTAGCAAATTTTAGGGGAACCCTCCCAAACAAAAAAGGGGTGAGAAGGGCACCTAGCTGGGGGACCTAGTTTGTCTGGGGATTTGCGCTGTGATTCTTGTCGAGGATAAATCGGAGACCATGTCCCGAACAGGAACTTCTGGTTTCAGGCTTTCTTATCAAATCCGGATACCAACTCCAAGTCCGGCTCCCTTTCAAACACCAACTACACACAATAGGCCTTGGCCACACAATCCATGTACAATAGACCAACATTGGGCCCATTTGGAGGGTACATGTGGGTAAATGTGCACCCTACATGAATTTGGCAGGTCCTCCAGTAGAGAGGTTAGAATAAGGGTACCCTTTTTTTCTGTAGTCTATTTTAGTGGGGGAACCCTCCCCAAAAAATGGGCAAAAGGGCGCTACTGGGGGACCTAGTAGAGTACTGGTTGCAGCCGCTCTCCGTTGATCCACACCAAGCGAATATGTAAGGGCAAGGGTCCCTTGCAAAAAGCAACAGAATACATGGCAACTGCGCCATAATGCAAGTGCCATTGAGTGGGGTTCGAACCTCCCGACACTACTTTATTTGGGTAATCTGTTGACAGGGTACTAACATTTTTTCGGGTTTCTTTAGGACGCGATAAACTGTCCATTCGATCGGGACTCCTTGAGAAGACCCCGTTGAATGGATCCCCTGATTTATCACTTAGTGCCACTCAGCAGCAGTCTCTTGGTCTCACTGCAAGTGGAAAACCCAAACTTCTCTTCCCTCCTGAGTTGCTTGTTCCCTCCTGAGTTGCTTGGCCAACAAAAAGGCTCAACTCTTTCAGAACCCCCTCCCCCCAACCACTGCGGTTTCGGAAAAGCAGAGGTTGGGACCCAAGGTTTGCCCCTCCAAAGAAAGGAGTCTTCAGTCCAACTCGGGAAGCCTCAAGGCATCTCACCGCTTTGGCTTCTCTCGAAGGGGACAACAACCATGGTTGGTTTCCTTTTGGCTTCCCGTGGAAAAACTGGTATCCTCAACAAAAGACAACGTTTCGGTTTTTGGATTGATTTGGAGGGGGCCTTTCCATGTCAAGAGGGACCAGGGTTCAATCACCCGAACCAAAAATAGAAAAGGTTATTGGATGAGGTATTCCTTTTCCGACAAATTGCAAGAAGCAACACATGTTGACCAAAACACCCTGATTTGGCCCACATGGGTACGCAGAACAAAATCATGCTGAGATTCTGTGTCATATTTCGCCCACCCTTAAACCCTATCATTGTGTTGGAAGGACACCCAAGCTAATCATTACTCAATGCAGGTCAACTAGTTGAGTTACCACATCTGGGACCTCCAAAAGACTTCATCTTCAGCATGTTGCCAGTATCTTGCCTTTGGGGGTTGCTAAGTGTTTGAGGGTGACCCATCCACTTGGGTTTGCGGGCTGTTAACATCCAGTTTGGGGGGGAGTACCCTTTTGGAGTTTTCGCCGGCTCACCTCCTGTATCAGCATATCAAAGCAGTGACACAAGGCTTTCGCCGCGGTTCAATCCCGTGCTGTGGGGTGGGGGAACTCCTTCGTGCAACTTTCAGTGATGTCGACCCCGGAGTATTGAATTAATCAACCCTGCTTTTTATGGGATGCTTGCCCTAGAAGCTTCGCCCCTATTTCAATCGAACAGGGGTGTAGGGACGGTCGTTTCTGGCACGCCGGAATGAGGAAGTTTGTTCTGGAATAGTTGGGAAAAGACTTTGGCGTGGGCAGAGTCGAAATGCTCGCCCTAAGAGAAACACGATGGCCCTTGCGGAGTGCCGTTGTTGTGGGGTCCCCCCAGCGGTTTCGGGATCACTTCCTGGAATACATGGGTGTGGTTCCTGTTTTGAGTTGGTACCCTGTTTGGGCTGGTTTGAGAGCACGGGAAACTACACACACATTTTGAGACATACCCTGCCCTTCTTAGGACAAGTTTAACTTCGCCTGACGAAAAGGACAAGTTTACTTGTTGAGGACAAGTTTACTCTTTGGGGACAAGTTGTGCACTTGCTTGCTGATTTCCGGCCCAACTTGCTTACATACATGCACAGCACACAACATATATCACAAGAAATCTTGAACATAACAACGAACTGATCTAATCAGATAGATCGAATCGATCCGACCGTGGAGTGGAAACCTGCGCCATCCTGCACTCATGGCGCATGAAGCGAGCGCTTCGCAAGCGCTTTTTGGCAGAAGGTGCGCACCCCCCTCTGGCTTTGCGCAAGCATGGGACATGTTGACACGAATGGCATGTTGACATGCGCGTTGGCGAATTGAGACGCATCTGAGTACGATTGCAAGATTGCATTTGTTTGCATGTTTCTCCTGCAGGCAGCATTTTGGCGTTTTGGGGCATGTAGCAGGGGGTGGTGAAAGTCTGATGGCCCCCTTTAAAATTTGCACAAGCTAGGCAGCACCAGGGTCCAAATTGGGCATCATGTTGACATGTACAACCAGCTGCGATGCCGACCGTGAAGCCATGCGAGCGAAGAGTTGCTCTGCTGAAGGCCTGATTGAAGCGCTTAATTACACAAGCTCGCGTGTTGCCGCTGGAAGGACTTCTACGAGGCGATCCTTGAGGAAAAGCCGAAAGAAGGCCGCGTGCTAGAGAAGGCCAAAAGGCTGGGGCCGTAGCAGCGTTAACGTTGCTTTGCAAAGTTAAATTGCGCGCATATTTATTGATATCACGTCCTATTTCGCAGGCTTGGCATCCCAGAAGATCGCGCAAAAAGGGCGCTGAAAGATGGAAAGGCTAGCATTGCATGCTGTGTATTTATCCTGTGCCTACAGTTTTTCCAGGTCCTCTTCGCCTTTAGCTTCCTGAACTTGAAGGACAGCCAATCCATTGGCCAAGCCGAGGCCGCCATGCTTTTTTCTGCTCGCTCCAACTCATCTGCCGCACGTTGAGGTCTCGGAGCCTGGCAATTTTGACTTCGCGGCTGACTGGCTCAGTGTCTTTGCCGTGGACATCCCGACCGCCAAGGAGATTCAGGCTAGACCATGCACCGGTGCACCACTAGTTTTGCGCAACAAATTTACCCGTGATGATTTCTAGGCAGCTCTTGCTGCAATCGGTGCTGAGTATGCTCTTTGTGGCAGAGGCGCTCGAAAGGCAGAGCTGGAGGACAGGTCAAACATGCAAAACTGCGGGGGTATATCGGACGTGATACGGTCTTGTTTGCGTGTAAAGGGTTGAAGCCTGCAGGAATGGGCAGAGACTGAGGGGAACCTCCACCGAGCCATATCATCATATGTGCTCCGAATGGTTTCCAAAACCGGGCATCAAAGGCCATGGAATTCCCTGTGTCAAGACAATTCCCTCCGTCCGCCACCAGGGCTCGAACTGAGAACATGGAGAAGTTGAAGAAACTGGTCCTCATGATCTACAAGGCCGCCTACGCGTTCTGGATTGCATGTCGATCGATCTAATATGCATGCATGCATGCATGTACGCATGTAAAAATAATGCTATATATGCCATATTCGAACTCATATATTATGCACATGCAGGAGCACAACATCCAGAAGAGGACCCGTTCGATGCGGAAGTTTGTTCACAACCCTGAGAACACCCCTGCTGCAAGCAGTGCTGGTGGCAGTGATGAGGAAATTGTGTTGGAAGAGGAGGAGGAGGAGGAAGGTGGGTGTGATGATGAGGTGGTTGAACCAGATGCCTCAACCCAAGCAGCGCCCGCTGTCGTGGCCGACCCGCCTTGCGCTGCCATCTCACCTGGCGATGGCAACAAGCAACAGCCAACTGAGACCGACAGGCGCCACGCCGCAGAGGTTGCCGCAATGACCTCCCACCCAGCATTTGAGGGCTTTATGCATGCTGTGCGCAATGGCAGGGTCAGCAACGTGTGGCCATCCTTTGGCGACTCAGCATTTGCGCTGTTCGATGTGCACCGGATGCTCGAAGCGTTCAAAACATGGCCCAAAGGCGAAGTGGCAACAGCGGTTCTCGCACCGGCAGCAGCGACCCCCGCGCCTTGCAGCGCACCGGCTAGCAAGCAGCAGCCGCAGCAGCAGAACAATGAGCCAGGCAGTCAAAGCAGTGCTCCGCCCAAGGAGAGCAGCCCAAACGAAGTTGGCAAAGGACAGCAAAGCATAGGCAGCCAAAGCAGTGCTCCGCCCAAGGAGAGCAGCCCAAACGAAGTTGGCAAAGGACAGCAAAGCATCGCAGAAGAACCCAGCAGCAACAACACGCAAAGCAAAAGCCCAGAGTTCGCAGTCGACCAGGCAGAGAACCACGGAAGTGCATTTAAGGCAGGCAGTGCAACGCCATGCATGCGTACGCTTGGTTCGACTCATTCTGTACCAGCCGTGTTAGCTGCTAGCTGGGTCAGGACAGAGCCGTGCTTGCTGCCACGCCCGTGCTTCCAATGGGCGTGGAGGAGGAGGTTGAAAAGGTGAAGCAAAACATGCTGGCCAAAAGCGATGTGTCCCCTGACGACCCTTCGATTCTTGTTGCCCCTCGACTCTATAGCTAGTATGCTGTGGTCTCAGAGTATACGTACATGAGCCTTAAACCCGGCCGGTTCGGTCTCCTAATCATGTTGACACTTTTGGGGAACACGGCGAGTTGAATCGGGGTGGCAATTAGCGTTTGCAAGGCACAGCGCAAACTCCGCAAAGCCATGAAGTTTGACAAGGGCGAAGTCGAGAACATGCAGGAGTTTGAGGAAGAGTTGGAACAAGAGGAGCGGGATTTGAAAAATGCAATGAGGGCGGAAGAGGATGCAGAAAGGAAGAAGCTTAAGAAGAC